CCTTGCACGCCACCGCAAGTGCATGTTCGTGTGGGACGAAGCGTCGCACTGTGGGCCAGAAGACCGGTGGAGGCGGTCAATATCCAAGACGCGTGTTGAGCTCCAGAGTCGCTAAATGGGACTCGACCCGTACGTGTGACCCCACCAATGGATTGCTTTCCGAACGAGGAATCCATTGGAGGGGTCGCGAGCTCGGTTCAAGTCCTGATTAGCGTTCCCGGAGCTCAAAACGCGTCTGGAGTTTTGGCCACCGGCGCCGGTCTTCTGGCCCACTGTGCACCACTCTGCCTCCCTCGCACTCGCGGGGTGTGATGTGCAAGGTGCGAGGGAGACAGCGGCGAAACGCCGTGCGGAATCAGACTCCCGGACTATCCGGTTTCGTGCCGCCTCCGCTCCCAGCTCCCGTGCGAACGAGGCACTCCAGTGGAAAAGCTCCTTGGCGCGCCCCGCCCCGCCCCGCCCCGCCCCGGCAGCGGGCGGCTCGACACGAGATTACTCGAGGGCACGCCGACGACCCCCAGCACCGCGCCCGCCCCGCCCCGCCCCGCCGGCACCCTCAGAGGCACGCGCGACACCGCGTAGACCGGAGAGGGGCGCCGACGGTGCCGACAGCGCCGCCGAGGACGAGACCCTCCTGGTCCCCACCCCCGGCCCTGCACCCGAAAATAAACCCATTACCTCATTGGAAACTCTCTCTTTCTCACTCTCTCGCTCTCGAAGGCGGCGACGGCGGCGACCTGGAGGAGGGTGACTGCAGTGCCCGCCACGCGCAGTGGGCCAGAAGATCGGCGTAGACGGCCAAAACTCTAGACGCGTTTTGAGCTCCAGAGTCGCTAAATGGGACTCGAACCGAACGTGTGACCCCACCAATGGATTCCTCGTTCGGAGAGCAATCCATTGGTGGGGTCACACGTTCGGTTCGAGTCCGTTTAGCGACTCTGGAGCTCAAAACGCGTCTAGAGTTTTGGCCGCCACCTCTGGGCTCCTGGTGCACTGTGCCTCGAGTTCGAAGCCAAATTACGGGCCTGAAAAGCCGAGAAAACTGCCCAGCCGACAGCCCCGGTTCGATTCCCGGTCGAGCCCACGTCAAAACGATAAAAATGACAAGTCTGAAAGGCCGAGACGACTTTCTGGCCGTCGGCGTGTTGATCACTCGGCAACGACGCCGACGACGGCGGCCGTTATCGCCGACTCCGCAGACAGAGTCGTTTGCGTCGCTCCGTCTCTCTCGCACCCGCAGGGCGGCGCAGGGCCCGCGGGGGACGCCCCATGAGTGCGAGAGAGACGGAGCGACGGCGCCATTCGGATTCACATCGCGGCGCTGGGAGGGGCGTAAAGCTCGCCGCGCCGCCCGCGCCGCCAAACGCACAAATGCCTACAAAGGCGGACGAGAAGAAGAAGAAGAAGAAGAAGAAGAAGAAGAAGAAGAAGAAGAAGAAGAAGAAGAAGAAGAAGAAGGGGAGGCGCGGCGGCCCAAGCACGTCGTACATAACCAGAAAACTTGCCGAGGACTAAAGGGCTGGGCGAGCCCTGCAGAGAGAGCCCTGCAGAGAGAGCCCTGCAGCTGACTGATTCCGGGAGTCGTTTTCGTCGCTCCGTCTCTCTCGCACTCACGGGGCGTCCCCCGCGGACCCTGCGGACCCTGCGGACCCTGCGGGTGCGAGAGAGACAGAGCGACGGCAGCGACTATCGGGATGAGTCCGCTGCGCTACGCTGCGCCGGCTCGGCCTGCGCCTGCGCCCTTGCCGGCGGAAATCAGCACGCAAGCGGAAAGTAGAGCAGGAGCGCGCATAACGAAGCTTATTTTGGACTGCGGGCTCTCTCTCTCTCTCTCTCTCTCTCTCTCTCTCTCTCTCTCTCTCTCTCTCTCTCTCTCTCTCTCTCTCTCGCACCTCACGCACCTTCCTGCACGAGTGGGAGAGAGACAGAGCACCGCAGCCTCCTGGCTCTGGACTGCATACTGTCCGAGACGCGTTCTGTCGCTCTGTCTCTCTCGCTCCCACACGGGACGCCCCAAGAGCGAGCACGAGAGAGACAGAGCGACGAAAACGACTCTCGGAACCGGTCTGCCGCTGCAGTCGGCGAGGAGAACGGCAACGCACTGTGGGCCAGAAGACCGGTGGAGGCGGCCAAAACTCTAGACGCGTTTTGAGCTCGGACTCGAAACGAACGTGTGACCCCCCCAATGGATTCCTCGTTCGGAGAGCAATCCATTGGTGGGGTCACACGTTCGGTTCGAGTCACATTTAGCGACTCTGGAGCTCAAAACGCGTCTAGAGTTTTGTCCGCTTCCACCGGTCTTCTGGCCCACTGTGCAACGTAGGGGAAGAGGGGAGCAAGGAGCCGAGGGCCTTGCCGGGAGCATCCGAAGCTTATTTCAAATAAATATACTGTCGGACCGGCGGTGCTGGCGAATGCTGGCGAATGCTGGCGCAATCTTTGAGGTCCCAGTCCCTTTTCCAGTGCCACGCTTTGGCGCGGGGGCGGCGCGGCGCGGGGGCGGTGCGGGGGCGGCGCGCGGGGGAGGGGAAAAAGTATAATGCGACAAAGATTGAGGGCAGGTTCCCCCCATCCCTCGCGCTAGTCCGGTCTAAACAGACCGGCGCGGTTCCTGCGATTTCTTCGCGTGTCCCGGTGGCCGCGTGCGTTAGAGCACCGAGTTCCGTGGGCAGGTTCCCGGGTTCGATTCCTCGGAGAGTATTGTCTTTTTCGTGGCTCTTGCACCCCTGTCCTGTGTTTCGAGTCATGGGCGACAAAAAAGGGGACCGGCCGAGCAGCTGCGATGCAGTCGCTGCGCGTTCAGGGCCATCACTAGTGACGTTTTTTGTGCTTTTTTGTGGTGTAGGCACTCCGCCGCTCGAACCACACCACAGCCACCTCCAGCAGGGACATCATTCTTTGGTAAGTGCAGCCGACTTCCCCGCCCGTCCCATTCGTCTTAATTCCCTCGTCTATGATTGGCCCGGCAGAGATGCCGTGGCTGTGCCTCTGTCGCGTTTTGAGCTCGGTCGCGAAGGGACTGCGAGACCGAGACAGTACAGGCGCGTGGGCTCTGGAGGTCTGTGGGTCACTCGGTCGACCTCTCCACAGCGCCTCGGAAAGTAAGTCGGATTCCGCCTCCACGTCTTAACTGTCATGTGCGGCGACCCCCGTGGCTGTCTCTGTCGCACTCATGGGCCGTCGCGCAAGGGTGCGAGAGAGGCAGACAGGCGCGTGGTTGGGGTGAGGGGTCATGCACCTCTCCCACAGCGCCCGGAAAGTAAGCTATCTGCTGTACACGCCGCCTGCGGGTAGGCAATCCACAGCGAAGTCGTTGGTATTAGGAACTAATCCCCACATAATCGCCTGAAAGTAGCAGTTCACCAAGTGCATCGCCTGCAGGTGGCCAACCCACAGTGAAATCCGCCTGCAGGTAGGCAACCCCACTCTCATTCCAGGAACGTGACATCACGTTGAAACGAACGTAACAAAATGTCACAAAATGTCACGTTCGTTTGAGCATTGTGTCACGATCGTTTGAATGTGAACAAGCTAATTTTTGGCCGATTCACGTCCAAACGAATGTGACACAACGCTCAAACAAACGTGACATTTTGTCACGTTTGTTTCAACGTGATGTCACGTTCCTGGAATGAGAGTGCCACGCGGTGCAATCCACCTGCACGTAGGCAAAGGAGCAGGCATGACCTTCCCTAAGGAAATTTCCCCGGTTCGCCCCTGGCGACAGCGCGGTGAAGCGCAGGTCGGAATCACTCAGTAGTTGCACCAAGCACGCAACGCTAGTCTACAGTGTGGGAGAAAGGCAGTGGCGCGACGCATTTTATGCACAGCCTGGCGTTGGCAGAGCCAGGCAAGCCAGGCGAGCCCTGCAGAGCGCCACGGCAGTTCAAACTAAATCAAGATGAAGCAGCGCCGCGTTTTCTTTGACTTAATTGGGCCATTTTTCACCACGACTGCAGTTGTCTGTCCCGCCCCGAGCCGCACAGGATTCATTCACACTCTCTTCCTCTCTCACTTTTTCTCACTTTCTTTCACTCTCACCACAGACACACCAACGCGCGCGCGGGGGGGGGGCACACACCTACCACACCAAAACCCACACACACACACCTACACACACACCACACACACACACATGCGCGAAATAGCGACAACACACGCGCGCGCCTGCGGGGTAGGCATCCGTGACACGGCGGTGCGTGGCGGGCCGGCCTACCCTCGATACGACAGGCGCGGAGGCGGCAGCAACAACAACAACAGACTGGCTTTCGCACCCCACCCCCTGTTCCATTTTCCAGCGCATTCGAAGTGAGGATTCGCCAATGAGTTTAGGTGGTTTCGCGCCTGGCCTCGGCTCGGAGACAGTGCAGAGGATGGCAGGAAACTGTGGCAGGGGCTGTGGGGAGATCCGTGGGGTCGGAAGGGCAGAGTAGTGTTGCCGTCGGATGCTGCAGTCTGATTCCGAGAGTCGTTTTCGCCGCTCTGTCTCTCTCGTACACATGGGACGTCCCCTGCAGGTGCGAGAGAGACAGCGAGCGACGAAAACGACTCTCGGAATGAGTCTGCTGGCACCGCTGGCACTGGACCAAGAAGACCAAGCGGGGAGCCGCACAGGTTAGGACCCTCTTGGTTATGTCGCTGTTGTGGTTCGAGCAGGCTGCACAGTGGGCCAGAAGACCGGCGGAGGCGGCCAAAACTCTAGACGCGTTTTGAGCTCCAGAGTCGCAAAATGCGACTCGAACCGAACGTGTGACCCCACCAATGGATTGCTCTTCGAACGAGCAATTCATTGGTGGGGTCACACGTTCGGTTCGAGTCCTGGTTAGCGACTCTGGATATCAAAACGCGCGTCTCAAAGTTTGGCCGCCTCCGCCGGTCTTCTGGCCCACTGTGTGGCGGCCTGGCCTGGCTGGCGTGTCTCGCCGACGGCAAGTAAACAGAGTCCGCGGGCCGCGGGGGGTTGGGGGTACCCTACCCGCCGAGGTACCGCGGGGACGTACCTGTCTCCGAGCAGATGCCGAGGTTGGCCGTTGCGAGCAGGAAGGTGAAGGCGAAGCACAAGTGTAGCATTCTTCAGAGCGGGGAGAAGAACAAGGCGAACTCGCGGCCCAGCACGGCCAAAGTCACGACACACTCACAACCCCTCGGCGCTCACGCCATCCTCGGTCCTTGCTCCTCCACTGTATCGAATCGCGCACAGCCACTCCACTCTCAGCGCGGCACGCGGCTCGAGCACACGACGGGCAGTGTGCCCGCGACGCCCGGGCACCAGCACTCGCCGCCAAACGGAGGCCGCATTGGTGGAAATGTGTGTTTACTGCCCGACGGACGACGGCCTGGGCCTGGGCAGCCTGGGGCTTGACTAGCTGGACGTGCTTGTGCTCGACGGGGTGCACGGAACTGCCCCCTGTCGCCACCCTCCTCACGGCCTTCCCGCGGCGCCAAAACGGACCAGAACGGCGCGCGCTGCAAGTGCGACAAGGCGCACTCGCGTCGCGGGAGAGACAAAGAGACAACGACGGCGATGCGAAATCTGTCCAGGAGAAGCGACGCGATTGCGGCCGAGGGCCTCGACGCGGACCGGGCGCCAGCGCTGCGCGACGGCCGAAAGCCCACTACACTGCCACTGCCACTGCAGTAGAAGGGAGAACGGCCGGCCGCCATGACTGCGGGCCTGCGGGGGAACTCAAGGCAATGCCGCCAACCAGCGGAACGCTTCCGCGCGTCGCTCCGTCTCTCTCGCACTCAAACGGGACGCCCTGTGAGTGCGACAGAGACAGAGCGACGAAAGCGACTCTCGGAAGCAGTCTGCCCGCCGGAGTGCTGCTTCGGGGAGAGACACCACGTCGGGACGGGGATCGCCTCACGGTGGGCCAGAAGACCGGTGGGGGCGGCCAGAACTCTAGACGCGTTTTGAGCCGAACGTGTGACCCCACCAATCGATTCCTCGTTCGGAGAGCAATCCATTGGTGGGGTCACACGTTCGGTTCGAGTCCCATTTGGCGACTCTGGAGCTTAAAACGTGTCAGGTTTGTCCGCCTCCGCCGGCTGCTGGCCCATTGTGCGCCTTTCTCCCCTGCGCTCTAGACTCGCCCTGCGGTGTTGCACACCCTGCTGCCTTATCAGCTTGTTATGAAAGCAGTGCCGAGCCGAGCCGAACTAGGCCAGTCTGTCAGCACACTGTTTTCGGCCGCCCTTGCCGTTATGCCAGTTAGTCTCGCCTGAACACCATGAGTTACTCCAGCGAGTTCGCCCAGTCTCCGGAGTACAGCAGCTTCCGCAGCAGCATTCCCCAGCAGAAGGTGGCCGTGGACTCGGACCCCACCAAGGTGACGTCTCGCGCTGTTTCCATAGGTTATCTCTGTTTGCTATTTTCCTATTTGTATTGACATGTCAAGACATTAGTTGTGTTTGTTGCCGTCTTGAGCCCCGGGGGAGGGTGATTTTAACAGTTTAGTTCGTTATTTTCTGCTGCATGTCAGTCTCGATTCTCTACTTGTTCAACTTGTAACAAGGGACTGGTCTCATCTCTCTCAGGAATGGAAGATTTACGATTCCGGCCCCAAGAGCGTCAAAGCGCCTCTAGTGTGCCTGCCACCAGTGAGCGGGACTGCTGACATCTTCTTCAAGCAGGTCTTGGCCCTCGGGGCCAAAGGAATTAGAGTTATCGCTGTAAGTGCTGGTCATTGTCACTGGCTGCCCTGCCTTGGTTGCTTTAAAATGGCTCACTTTCTTTTTCTGGTTGTAGGCTGAACATCCCGTTTATTGGACAGTCACAGAATGGTGCGATGGATTCCGCAAATTAATGGATCATCTGGGTCTTCAGAAAGTCCACATATTCGGGACATCTTTAGGTACCCATTTGGATTCATATTTATCGTGTAAAACAAATTTCTCACTCTTTTTGACTTATTGATTTTAACCTCTGCAGGTGGATTTCTGGCTCAAAAATTTGCTGAACGTACAAGTAGTTGTCCAAGAGTCGCCTCTTTAATTCTCTGTAATACATTCATGGATACATCTATTTTTAACTACAATGATTCTGCTTCTCTGTAAGTTACAGAAGTAGTACCATGCTTTCATTGTCCTCCAGTGAAAACTAATTTTTTTTTTCACATATTTCTGTTTCAATTTTTTTTGTTACAGCTTTTGGATGTTTCCATCCCTATTGTTGAAGAAAATGATTATGGGAAGCTTTACTACATCCAAAGTGGACGCAGCAATAGCGGATTCCATTGATTTCATGGTAGAACGGGTAAGAATTCTGTATTCAACATGTGGAATTTTTGTTTCCTTTTCAGGAAACCTTTATTTTCACACTTTATTTGATTGCAGCTGGAAAGCTTGTCTCAGCAAGATCTTGCCTCACGGCTTACCATGAATTGTGTGAACTGCTATGTGGAACCGCACAAAATGAGGGACATTCCTGTAACAATTGTGGATGTATTTGATGAATATGCACTCAGCAGTCCTGTGCGAGAAGAGCTTTACAAGTGTTACCCAAGTGCTCGTCTGGCTCACCTAAAATCTGGTGGAAATTTTCCTTATCTAAGTAGAAGTGACCAAGTGAATGTCTATTTGCAGGTACTTGCTTAGTTCCTCCACCCACATCTGTCTGCTTATTCTACAAATATGGGGTCGAAATTTAATGCAAGTCTGTTAACCTTCTCTTAGATTCATCTTCGAGGCTTTCAAGGAACACCTGAGACTCCCTGGGAGGCGAGTGCAGAAGACCCTTATTGGAAGGAAATCCATTCTAATGACTCAGACATTATGGCTAGCCCAGAAGATGTGCCACAAAATGTTCTTAGTGAAGGACAATCAGCCAGTCAAGAGGAACTACCCAAAACTGTTAATAGAGCCAAATCAAATTCAGCCACATTGCTTTAAACGAAATAATGGTAAACATTGTTTGTAATTTTTTTTGCCATTGAAACTGTTTTTTTTTCCTCCCCACTATTTTTAAATCACTTCTCTGAAAAATTGAATCAATGATCTGTCTTATCCAAGGTGCTGGTACTTTTTACTTTTTTTTTCTGAGATCTTCAAAACTTTATGTGATTTGAAATGTTTGGATCTTCTTATTTCCCATTTATGGAATGTCAAAGCTTATAGCTGACTGAATGTATTGTGATGAACATGTGATGATTTTTATGGAAAGTTTATATTGTAAAATGAATCAATAACCTGGTAAATGTGATTCATGTTGTTTCTCTGGTAACTTATGTACTGTGTTGAAATTTATACCTTGTGGAACATGTTAATGTTTGTGTAAGTGTGTATGCATGAGTGTGTGTGTATTTGTGTGTGTTTGTTGTCACCAAAAATTTCACAAGAATTTAGGTTTTGTATTTTTGTTACTGCCTTATGCTGGCAATGTTATTCATCACACTTCATGACTGATTTTCCTGCTACTGTGGGTATATTTTGTATTACCTTATCTCTGTACATTCCCATTTGTACATGTATGAAAGCCTCACTGAACTCGAGAAGTTTATATTTTTAGAAACATTTGTTGTTGTTAGTTGAGATATTTCTAGAAAGACTTATGCTGCCTTAGTCATGTCTGTGATTCTCTGAACTTCTGTTATTTGTGTGTTTTACATTCTGTGCTGTAAGAATGAATTTACTTTGAAATTTTATATCCGTCTTGTTATAAAAATAAAGAGCATCATCAATTTCTACTCTCTTTTTTTTCCTTGTGGTAGTCCATCAAAGGAAGAAGTAAAACAAACAAAACGTAGTGTCACAGCATTTTAATTCAATAATATACATAGGTAGGAGGTCTAACATTTTCACTTTTCAGGCCCATATTTCTGGAAGTTTTTGAATCTTCTTGGATTCAGTCCATAAGCTTTTAGACGTGAATCAGAAATGTTCTGTTCCTGTTTCGCATTGCCCTTCCAATTCTTTTTACCACCACCACCTCTTTGACTAAAACTGGTTTTGGCTTTCTTGACACCATTCTGATGCTGAACTCCACTGTCTGAATGTTTACGTTTCATTTTGTTGCTTGTGGTCTCATTGTTAACACCTTGGGCAGTAGCTGTTTCAATCTTGTTAAATTCTTTCTTCTTCTTCTTTTTACTAATGCTTGTATCTCCCTCTAGAGCAACTCCTGTACTTCCTTCTTCATTAGTAATGAGCTGATGTTTCTTTTTCTTCTTTTTACTGCTTTTTATTTCCTGAGCTTGCGATGTGAATGGGTGAAGGTCAACAGTTTTGTTGGTATCTCCAGCTTGATCACCAACTGTACTTCCGTCTTCACCAGTGATAAGCTGCTGTTTCTTTTTCTTCTTTTTACCACTATCCTGAGCTTGGGATGTGAAAGGGTGGAGGTCTACAGTTTCATTGGCATCTCCAGCTAGAGCACCAACTGTGCTTTCATCTTTATCAGTCATAGGCTGCTGTTTCTTTTTCTTCTTTTTACTACTACCCTCAGCTTGCAATGTTGTCTGATCATCAGTTTCAATGGCATCTTCCACTAAAGTACCATCTGCATTTTTGCTTTTATCTTTATTATGTTTCTTTTTCTTCTTCTTCTTTTTGTCCTTTTCATCATTTTCATTCACATGTTCAGTCCTGGAAAGCAAGAAAATATGTTATTATTATCATCAATAAATTCAAGAAAAGCTGACAATGGGAAAATGAAAATCTCAACTTACTCATGCTTGTATAGACTAGGTAAAATTTTTCTCTTCAGCTCCTCATTTCGGGCTTTTTCAGCATAAACCTTGGCTTCATATCTCTCTGTACTCTCAGGTCGAATTGTATAGGCCTTCTTTATGGACACCCACTGGTTAAGTTCTTTGTCATCTGCTGCTAGAATCTGTCAAAAAAAGAAGAATATAACATACATTTACTTTATTTATTGAGTTTCTTCAGAGAAATTCTTAATGTAATGGAGATTTAGCTAGCATACCTCATCAATGGTTAAACCATAGCTATTGGGGAAAACACTTTTGTACTTGAATCGGCAGGGCATATCACCAATTAAATCCTCATAATCCATGCCATAATATTCATCCACATATTGCTGGAATGTTTTGTCTTTGGGATCAAACACAGGCTTCTCTTTATGAACAAGCCTTCCAAACCGTGACTGTCTTTTCAACTTCCTCTTTTCTCGTGCTGACATGCGTTTCGATTCCTTCTGAGCCTTGGCTGTGGCAGCTGTAGCAGGATCATAGTCACAATCCATCTAGAAAAGGAAATACAAAATATTCAAATCAATTACTGTAATTGAAAACTTTTTTTTTTACTAAGGTTGTCTCGAAGCATGATGTGTCTAGTGTTAAGATACATACATTGAAATCTGGATCTTCACAATGAGGAACATATCCCTCCCCTTGAGAGGCAGCAGAGGCATCATTATTCTCAGTGGTGTCCCAGTTGTCCCAATTACCTGAAAACAAAAGGGTGTTACAATAGGGAAAATTTTTCATGACTGTATACAGACTTGCCATTTGATCTTTACCATCAGGGACGTCTTCATCATCCAGCAGCTCTTCTTCAAGTGGAGGCAAGTGCAGCCCTTCCTCATCCTCAGCAGCATCCTCATCCTTATAATAATCATCATTAAATAATTCTTTCATTTTTCTATCGTGTGCCTCAGGATCAAATTCTTCCTCCAATTCATCAGCCTGTACGAGAAACACATTGACATTAGCTAGAGGTTTTCACAATTTGTTTATAAAGAAAGGTAAAGATTTAGATGAAAAACTGACTTACATCTAGACCCAGCTCATCATTTCCTGTAATTTGCTTAATGTGTTCAATCTTTTGCATAATTTCTTTCCGTTTTAAGGACTTGAGCAATTTAAGTTCTTCACGCTTGACCAGTTTCTCCTCTTCTTTCCTCTTCTTTAACGCATCACGCTTCTCTTTTCGCTTGGTATCCCGATGACGTACCGATTGCTCCATTGTGCGGGGGTATCTCTTGAGCTGAAAGAGATCGGATGAGACATCAATTCCACCTGGGATTGAAAGTAAAATGTCTTAACTGTGTTACAGATACTTACAAATTCTCTGTCTGGTTCTTCATAGCGGAAGTTATATTTATGTTCAAAACTATCCATGTATTTATCTTGATAGTCATCATCAGTCACATTGCCATCATCAACAGGTTCGTCATCAGCCTCAAGATACCTTAACAAGTACATTCATGAACATGAAATGAAAAAGAGCAGCTTCTACTTAGAGAAAGACATGATGATTTTTTAAAAATATTGCAATGGCTAACATACCTTTTGTTAAGAACATAGTCTCTGAGAAACTTTTCTCCTTCGTCAAGATTGGGATCATTCCATATATTTTTTAATCCTTTCAAAGATTCTTCAGTTTCCTTATCGGGTAGAGATGCTTTGTTTCCTTTCAGCCACTCTATGTAATCCTCCTCTTCTTTTTTCTACAAACAATTTAATGTTTAGTAAAATAAAGCCCATAAAAAAAGACAAAACAGAAGTTTGTAATTTTTTCAAAATCCATCTAGCTTACTTGTTCTGCTTTGGTTTTTTCTTTCTTTTTCAGAAGTCCACCCTCATCACCACTCTCATCATCATCATTGAGAGCTTTCTTAAAACTTTCTTTCAGCTGACGTTGCTCTTCCACATATGTTGGACTTTGGGACCTTGGGTCTTCTTTAATGTCTGTGTCACTTTCTGGAAAAGAGTTGATAGTAATAAGTAGTTCTATCCCTTGATGTCAGGTGTACTTTATGAAGACAAAGTGAAAGATTAAACTAACCATCGCTCAGTTCACCCTGCCTTTCGGTTATAATTTTGCGCTCATAGTCTCGTAGATACAAGGGCTTCTCCTTTGGTTGCTTCTTAGTTGCCTTTCCAGCAGAGCTTGATTGAGCTTCTTTCTCTTTTTTAAAGAATTCAACATTTGGGTTGTATATTTTAGGATCCTTACTCTTAAGGCCCGATATTAATTCAAAAAAGTCTTTTGACAGTACCTGATTCAGCTCCTACCAGAGAAATTATCCAATAAAAACAGTAGTTTTAAATAGCGAAAACCTACCACCTGCCACTCCACTGGTAACAGTGGAAATCGTAGGAAAGAACATGCGACTATTCAAAGCATACCTCTGGATCTGGATCAGGTTCGCCCTCCTCTGAAGACGACTCGTCAGCATCATCATAATGCCCGCTAGCAAGTTTATTCTCCACTGTGGAAACAGACACAAGTTTCAATTTAGGAATTTGTAAATGACCTCAATGGGAATCAATAGAAGAAATATAAATAAAAGTAAATAATATTGGAGGTAATAATTGTCCTCAGTTAAAAGCATAGGATAGGTAGCATGCTACACACATAAGACAAATAAAACTGTTAATTTAATTTAAATGAGAAAAACGTAAAGAGCGTGCCAGCGCATGGTCTAGACTAGAATTCATTTTTCTTGACATTGTTTCAAGTCCATGATGTTCGGTGGGGTTAACTCACAGACAACACTTACGAGTTCGCTTCACCTCGGCCTCCCGCCATTCCTCGTAGCGTTTAGCGTAGCCCTTATTAATTGAGAGACTTGCTTCTTCGCCATCGTCGTCCGAATTATCGTCGAACAGATTTAATTTCTTAGACATGGTTGTGGGAGCACGGCAGACGGCAGGGACAACACCATGCACTCACACACACACAAACCACACACGCACGGAGAGCTTCAAGCAAGTGCCGACAGATGGCATTAGCGTCGGAAGTCGAAACGCGCCAAAATTCGAAAGGGATCTTGCCTTCATTCCCTTATGTAATTTTAATTGACATCAGGCCGATTCCTTTCGGTCACCCCATCGTAAAGGCAGTAACACCACAGGAGCGGCGTGTGAGATCCAATCATTGTGACAAATCTTGATTTTATTCACGACTCATTAGTTTGCTTGCTTTGGTTTCTAGTTGCAACATCAGATCTTTGCAAATCGCAATGCAAAATCTTCATTCCATCAAAAATTAATTGAAGGTCATAAAAGGAATATACACCAGGGTCATTTATGCATGTAACTTTATTAGAGATTTAATTGATAGAATCAAACAAAAACAAAATGGCTCCATGACAATCGAAACCATAACTTAGGAATGTTCAGTACCCTTGCCAAATGGACAAATTGAACACCTGAATACAAGTCATCAAAATAAAACCACATTTAAAGGTCTCTATCCACAAAAAGGAGACAAGTTACCCCCATAGTCAGTTTCGATGCATCATGATCATTCAAACAGAACAGAAACTGTACAAAAACAACAAAACAATTAAACCAAGTGCCTTAAACAATTCTCACTTAGATAAAAATAAATAAACAAGTTGGACAACTGTCCCAAAATTTAATGTAGTTGTTACATTATAAAACAGTTTCAATCATTAAAAAATAAAAATACCTTTAGCTCATCTGGCACTTCAAATTAGGTCTATGAACAGTTCAATGAACCAAGACAAAACTTCCGAACACATTGTGTAGTCTAAAGACTAGATGGCAATCCTAGTTAACTTCAAAAGTTTAGCAAGCAACAGCTCCTTGCGACTCTTTGGCTTTGTTGCGAGACTTCTCAGGAGACTTCCTAGACTTGTTAGAGGACTTAGACTTAGGAGAGGCTTGAGACTTCTCAGGAGAGGAAGATGGCTTCTCAGGAGTAGTTTTCTCGGGAGTGGTTGGCGACTTCTCCACAGTAGTGGAAGCCTCAGGAGAAGCTGGCACCTTCTCCGGAGAAGAAGTAGTCTTCTCGGAAGAGGCTGGCAACTTGGGAGACTTCGATTTTGGTGACTTAGGTGATTTTTCAGGGGAGGCCGGCACTTTCTCTGGAGTGGATGGCTTCTCAGGGCAAATTACAGTGACATCAGGAGACTCCGTAGGAGTTGTAGCCTCTGATGAATTGTTGTCAGCTGATGAATTAATGTCAGAAGTGCCTAGAAGTTAAAGAAACCAAATTATTAACAAGAACATTGAGACTAGTCCAAAGTACCACGAAATAAAATTATAATTACCATCTGTCTTGTCAATACTTTTGCTAGACTTCCTAGACCTCTTGGAGAATGACTGCCGTGGCTCTCGTTTTGGTCGAAGTTCAGGTACAAAGTGCCACTCTATTTTCTTGGTTAATTCTTCTAAATCATCTTCATTAGCTAACTGAGCCTACAAATCAGAAAGCAATAAAACACATTAAGATCAAATCATATCAACTGATTCAAGTAAGAGCAGACAAAACATGGAATCGGACTAGTGTTATGAAACATACCTTCTCCTTCAGAAGTGTCGCTACAGCGTCTCTCTGACCAGAATTCCATGCCTCAGTGATAAGTGCCATGTCAATATTGGCATCCAGCAACTGTTTCCGAAGCGAGTAAGCACGAAGCTTATCCTTCCGGTTGCCCCGGATCAGTTGCAAGAAGACTGGTCTCAAGGCATCTTGGCGTTTAATCATCTCTTGCTGTTCAATAAGTAGTTCTTCCTCACGGCGGCAAGGTTGAGTGTATTCACGTACACAGGAAATCATGCTAGCCAGAGTAGGAGCAGCGGAGTCCCCAGCTCCAGAGTTGTCTGCACCATCATCAGTACAGAGCTTCTGCAGCACCTGAACCAAACAAAGACAATAACTACACAGCAAAGGACCTACAGTAATAAAACAAGCTGGAGACTTCAATAACATGCAGCAGCAGGACAGAAACCTAGACGAAGAAAAACCTCAACCACATTGTCTACACACTAAAACATGCCTGTGCAAACTAACAGGATCTGATGTCACTTGCGGTGTCAGCAGATACATTGGTTCAATCAAAAAGAAAAAGCAAACAAAAGAAAGTGGAGCAAGAGACAGCAGCTGAACCAAATAAATTCCTAAGAAAGCAAACATTCCAATGACCAAAAAATTTTTATCATGAGGATAGAGGTCACACAAAAGGTGATTAATTACGTGTTATACAAATCTGGTCAAGTCCTCCTCCACTTGCTCCAAGGATCCTAGAAAAGAAATTCCACACCTGTTTGTGTTAGTTCAAAAACTCACATAATTATTCAGGTTAGTTGATAGTTCACAAGACACTGATGGCTGGGGCGATGCAAGACCAGCAGGCAGCAGCAACAGGTTCCAAAGAAAACACAGGAGAAAATACATACCTGGTAAATAAGTCTTGCTCTGTCAGCAGCACTCTCCTGGCCTTCTTCCTTCCCCAGGAGAACGGCAGAAAGTGTCCGAAGGTGGCAGTTGGTAGTTGAGTTAGCACATTTGCTCTGGGCAACAGCGAAACCATTCGCAAATCCAGCAACAACATTCTTGAACCGTTGCAGGAGTTCGGCATGAGGATACCTTCCTGAGAGGGATACACAATGTTAGTGTAAGTGTCACATACAATCCACATCCAAGAAAAGGGATGCAAGCTCACCTAAACAGTGCAAGAGGAGTGCAGGGCATACTTGAAGCTGCTCATGGAATACTAAGATAATACCATCTTTGGCATCACCCTTGACTGCTTCGAGCCATTCAACAAAGTCACGAAGGCCAGAAATTTCACTTTTGGTCTTGATAGCCTGGAAAAATTAACACATTAGCATAGCCAGATGAAAACAATGATTTTGAGTACTGGTCACAATGAGTTACCTTGCTATTCTTGAGGTGCTTCAAGACTCTGTACCGATTGATGGTGACAACCTTCAGCTTGTGTCTGCGCCGGGCAGCAATATTCAAGTCTCGACTGGGCATAACATACAGAGAAAACTCCTTATCAGGAGTGTAGGCAGCTATTTGCAGAATTTCGTCGACAAGGCGGCGTCCTGAGATATCCAGGTCCCAGCCCACAATGCGATAATTGCCAATAGGAAGGCCATCTGCCTTGGGAATGATAGGTGCAGAATCCCCATCACCGCTCACAGGCTTGTCTGTCGAAGTCACCATATTGGCTGCAACAAAAATGAGACAACATTAGGAATTGATTTTGAAGCAGGAAGATGGCGGGAACTCCGATAGGGAAGTGAGGCTTCCTGACCTCTGGCCTTGACTGATAACAATGTATACATACAACCCAAAGCTATTGAGTCCCATAGGTGTTCCCTTATCAACCAAGAAAGAATCAACCAACACAATTCACCACAAGCAGGTGAGACGAATCAGAGTCAAATGGGGCTCCACACCGTAAACAAAAACAAGAAAGGAAGCGCGGAAGACGGCCGTCTGTCGGCGACTGAAGGTCAAATACAGCGAAAGATGACACGGGGGCGGGGCGGCATTACAGATAACACCTACGATAAGAAATGTAAAGACGAAACCGGCCTAGACGGGGTAGGCGACACGGCACGGTGTGCCGCAATTCACGTGTCGCTCCGTCCAATCACCAGGTTCGCAGCAACGGCGGCCGTAGCACGAGGCGCGGTGGAATCACCGGCCGAAGGAATCCTAGTCGCAGTCGAACGTCAAAGCCGGCTTGACAACGCACCACACGTCCAAACGCCTCCCGTCGTCAAGTCGCAGCAATAATGGGCGGATGGCAACAGAGCCGTTACCTAGCGAAAGCGAAACGGACGGAAGTCGAGCCGGAGAAACGGCCCGGAGTCGACCCGGACGCCGAGCCGCGCTGTCTGTCTCTGTCTGCGCGAAACGCGAACGTCGCCCTAGAGTCAACAAAGTCAACAGCCCCGCCCAGCGAACACTAGAACGAGCCGAACCTAGGGGAACTGGATGGGCCGAGACGCGATGAATGGGGCGATGACACAGGCGACACTCGTGACCGGTCTACTCACACAAAATGACTGATGTTCCCACGCCGATGATGTCTCCTCGCTCCAATCCGTTCTTCCGCACTCCGGGGCTCGAAGTGTCGAAAACTGCAAAGCTGCAGCACGTGGAAAGGGTCAGGAAATGCGAAAAGAACGTCGGAAATTGGCTGCGCCTGTCAGAATGCGGAAGCGCAAAACGAAAACGACCTTTCTTCTTCGAGCTTTTCTTCTTCCCCGAGCGACGTCTGCATGTTTTGATTGCGAAGCAGACGACTCGACTCATGCCAAATGGGATTATTGTGCAGGGATTCTGAATGAAGGACGAGGATAAAAACACGTCCCTGCTGTTCGAATCTTCCCCTCGCCGTCTGCTGTGACCCATCAGTATTTCAAGATGCTTCTCTCGTTAATTCAAAAATCTAAAAGTATAATGGGCATCGGGGAAAACGCCATCCCTGCATCCCCGTCGTCACCCTCCACTGTACCCCCTTTGCCGAATGACCTCCAAAGCAGTTCTGATAAGTCACCGAGTTCAATGGAGGCACACGGCACGACTCAGAGCGAGCACAAGGAGTTTCAAGAACTCATCTACGGTACGCATGCATCCAGGCGGGCACTAAAAGCAGCTGATGATGTGCCAAGTCACATTAGGTTATGTTGTTACTGAAGGATCGACATTACATACTAGAAAAAGAAATGTTTGAACGTGTGCAATAGCTAAATGAAATTAACAATTGAATTGGAATAAAAAACCTATTTGTATTTCTCATTTGTTTGCAGACTATATTCGCAGCATTAAAGATCCTGAAAAGCCCGCAACTTTAGAAGATTTACACGTTGTGTACGAGGAAGGTGTTCAGGTACTTTATTTTCGCTCAGACTATTGTTACATCCTTTTATATCTCAGCGCTTTACAGCATCTTATAAATTTTCTTTTTAGGTGAAAGGAGTAACGGCAGACAATGTGAAAATTGTAAGAATAGAATTTAATCCCACAGTTCCCCACTGTTCTCTAGCTACACTAATAGGGCTATGCATAAGAGTGCAGCTGGAAAGAACAGTAGCCCACACCAACCCTTTTAAGCTAGACATTTACATCAAAAAAGGAACTCATAATACTGAAGAAGAAAGTAAGCATTTTTGAAAAAGAATAATAATGCTCAAGTGTTTCTATATTTAATTGACCTATTACTCAGTTCTAATATGTTTTGGTTTCAGTCAACAAGCAAATCAATGACAAAGAAAGAATAGCTGCAGCCATGGAAAATCCCAATCTAAGAAAAATTGTTGAAGATTGCATTCAGGACGATGACTGAAGAAAGACTGATATCACCGTTTTCACATTTTACTATGAAAATCTATTTTTGTGAAGTTGTACTCTGTAAATAATATATTTGTTATAAAAGTTTCTACTCTGTTGCCATTGTCATTTTTGTTACTTGGAAAAATAGTCTAGCTCCAGTTCGCACTGGCAAGCTGAGCTGTTCAGAAGTACGTTTTCCCACTAAATATTTTCTTATGTATGAGATGCGGCAAGTGTATGGCGTGTCATGACATGGGAACCACGTTCAGAACTAAAGTATGGAATCGGATTTTGGGGAAATGAAATGCAGATGAGACGGGGCCAGTGGGGCCCCGGGAGGCATTCCCCCTGGTTGGCGGGACAGGCCACGACGTGACTCGTCGCCGTGAGCCTACACTGCAAGGCTTGCTTTGCTAGCCCATGACTCGCGCAACCCGCTGCCAGCAGAGTGGCAAGACTCGAGAATCACAACTTGGCTGCGAGTCCCCGTGCTACTTAAAGCTTGCAGTGCGCCCGCCCCATCAGTACGCATCAAAGCATACACAAGAATCAAATTAAAGTTAAATATCTGTGAGATGGCCTCTAAAGGCCTATCGCCACCAAAATGGCGGACAGCTGCGGCCTCTTTTGGTCGTTTCCATGCGAATGCTAGGAACACAAGATTCGTTTAGATGTTGCCTCAATTCGTAAGTGAATTCAATTTTAGCAAATTTTACAGACACTTTTGGGTAAATCACTGTGTGAAAGAACCAGAAAACTTCATTGTCATACCTCATACCGCCCTCTGTCGGCCAACTTCGTAACTGTTTCTGACGTGACTCGTTTCCAACGGCTTTGCAACAGTCTCCGTCTCGTCTTGTTCCTTCATGTTTCTGTACGACATAATGTTCTGGCTTGTGTCAAACTGTTTGTCAGCCTAGCGCCTAAAAAGAGTTTGTGTCATCGGTGTGCACGTGAAAACAATGCTCCAGGACGTCTCCAGTGTGTGAAGACTGCATTGCGAGCTTGGTCGTCTGTGGAGGAATGGGCGGTGCAGCGGTGTGATTATTGTGCTACGACCCAACAATCGCCATGCAGAACGGTTGCGCGACCGGTTCCGCAAGAACCCTTCTTGTCCAGGAGTTCAAGGAGTGGAAGAATGAAAACAAAGCATCTTTGTCACTCGTCAGCGACAGCATTTGCGACGACGGCCGAGTCTGCTTGAAACTGAGCCTCGGACGCGACAAGATCTTCTCGCTGTTGTGTCCCGCGGAGTACCCCGAATATGAGGACAACTTCTTCGCCGAGTCCGAATCCGTCAACCACTTGTGGTTGAACGCTCTCAATGAGTTTATCCTAGATTCTGATGTGGGGCTAACGCTAGAGGCCATTCTTTGGAAAGCTAACTCGTTGGATTCCCGGGTTCGGTATAGTCCCTCCAACAGTTCTGATGATGAAGATGAAAACGAAGAATTCATGGTCTTGGAAGAGGAGGATGAAGAGGATCTCATGGAAAGGGCGTTATGGGATAAAGAAAAACAGTGGAGAGCTAAAGAGGCCAAGATAAGAGCTTCTATGAAAGAAGCAGAAGAATCTGGACCTTCCACATCAACTGGTGGGGGTGTCAAAGACCAGAAGTCGTTACAGGTTTTCAGCAACTTTGCTGCTTCCGGAATTTTGACCAATGATCTCAAGCACATCATCAAAACTGCTAGTGAAACTGGCATTGATGTCGAACCCATTGATAGCAATATCTATGAGTGGTCTGTGAGGTTCAGCAAGTTCGATCCAAACAGCAAGCTGCAGCAGGACTTGAACCTTCTCAAAGAAACTCATGGTATTGGCTACATTGAACTCCAGCTCGAGTTCACAATGGATTTGTACCCGTTCTATCCCCCTGTGACCAAGATGGTTCGTCCTCGACCTGAGGGATCCGTGCGTTTCATGCTCGCTTGCCTGGATATTCTGAAACTATCATCCTGGAACCCCACGTGTGGCATGATAACTGTTCTTGAAGAAATAAAGGACTATCTTGCTAAGCATGCTGTTCTTCATGTTGATACTGCGTTCCGATCAAGTATTCTTCTACCCATTGAAAATAGCCTGCTGCAACTGGCTCTTGTCAGTGAAGTTATGCCTCATGAGATCGCTGGTGCTGTAGCTCGACCCAAGTCTGGCATTTATGGATCTAGTAGTACTTCATTGACCAAGTCCAACCCGTCAAGTATGTCGAGCCTGTCAGGAGCGTCTGGCTCTTCGAGTGTCGCTGGGCCCTCAGGGGTCATGGGATCTTCTGCTGCATCCACTGCCGACACATCTGGAGCGTCAGGTACATCTATGTCTTCATCTTCATCTACTTCATCCACCTCATCAACATGTTCTTTGGTTTCTGATACATCAAAAACATCAATGAATGGAGAAGACAATGACAAAGTCATCCCCAACCCCGTCAATGTATTTTTACTCACAAATGACAAATTGACAGCACCCAAAAGTCATCCCGTATTTATGTCTGGTCCTTTAACAAGTTCCACATTTTCAGAAGACTATTCCCTCCTCAAGAACAAGGTGATGAATGCTTTGCGGCAAAATATTGGCAAGAAACCTAAATTTCCTGATGGCACTGGCTACAGCACATTCAGCGACAAAGGTTGGGACATCAATGCTCACATAGCGGTGGAGAAAGAAAAAGACAAGAAGATAGAGGCTGTTTTGCAGATAATTCTGCTGGATTTGCAAGAGTACCTTCAGCATTATGACCGGTGGTTAAAACCAGCTGATGAACCTATGGCTGATGGTTCAGAAATAAACGATGAGGCGATGGTTTGCAATGGCCACCCCAGTCAACCATCTGCAACAAAAACAGGTTTGTAAATTTATAGTCTAAAGTAAAGCCAGAATCCTTTTTTTTCTTCTTTTTTTTAGAATACACATTACAATTTCAATCTTTTTGTTTTCAGTTCCTGAGTCGACATCTTCAGAGGCAGCCCAAGCCCAGACTGTGACTTCAAATGACAAAAGTGCAAGTCCCTTAGGGAAAGACAAAGTCCATTTTCCTAATCAGAGTGACGCCACTCGGCAACTTTATGAGGCTTTAGAGGCATCGACACTCATCCCTTTCATTGAGCAAAAGCTACAGGTAGGTGATAAAGTTGAGAATTGTTGAATTTCACAATAATTTCAGTCCTTATTTGACTTGTTTTATTGTCTTTGTTTGTATTAAAGAGATGGGTCTATGTCTGTGTTTTAGGTGGACTCATTCCTTGAGATCTGTCGCCACAAGTCAGTGTATAGATGTGTGATTGACATTCTTTCACTGATTGCTGGTAGACTTTGGCTTGCAAGATTGCTGTGGAAACAACCAGGTCAAAAGAAATCTATCTATTCTCTTCTACTAGGTATTAAAGACAAGGCACAGAAAGTTCTTGACAGGTTGGTAATGCTTTTATCTTAATTTGACAGTTTATTTGGACAAACTTCTTTCTCCAAACTCACTCTTTTACTCTTGTATGTTTCAGATATAAGATTGCAGCTGAATCTAGTCACTCTAAAAATGAAAAGAAAGGCAAAAAGCGTGCCAATTCAGGTAGCCGGGATAAAGATAAGACAACTAGAAGAAGTAAAGTTGGAACAGCGTCCAATTCCAATCCATTGGGAATGGATGACTCTGAGGAAGAGGCAGGCCCCTCTGGTGCTATCAATATCCATGGTGCAGTGGACTTCAATGAGTTGCACGGCTTGCATGGGGACTATCCTCTGGACGATTCTGACGGCTCTGACGTGTTGGCACATTTTGATGAATTTGGGCAAGGATTTCCGTCCTCACCCAACAAAAAGGGTGTTACCACAAGAAGCGGTTGGAACCTGGGGAAAAATCAAAAGGCTAAATCATGGAACGCATCTGCTAAGGGAGCTAGTGGAAGCTCTGGGAAGGCCTCATCTAGTGCTACAAAATCTTCTTCAAGTGCTACAAAGTCCTCTTCGAGTACAAGCAAGGCCGCAGCAGCAAGCACTGCTAAGGCATCCACCAGTTCCCCCAAAGCTTCTGGAAGTGCCTTGAAGCCTGCAGCTGCTGGGCCCTCCAAAGTGCCCGTCAGCACGAAAGCTCCTGCCAGCGCCTCAAAGGCGTCTGCTTGCTTCTTGTCCAAGCCTCAGATGCCCAGCACCTCAAAAGCCCCTGCAGCTATGCTCAACATGGATGGTCCCTCTGGAGGCATTTCTGGGCTGCATTTTGGATCCTATAAGCTGAAACTATTTCAAGGCAAGCAGGATCCCAAGAAAGGAGGTCCCAGTACATCTGGCTCATCCTCATCAAGCAACAGTGCTGCTAAGGGTAATGCTCTAAACTCTTTCTGAATCATCATCTTCTTGTATCTTTGATATTTTATTGTGTTTGTTTGTACATTAGCTCCATCTTAAATGTTTCCTTTGACTCCCAAGCCCAGCTCCTACTAAATTTAGTTTCTTTCTGATTTTTAGATGAGACCTCCTCTGTTGGCCTTACCGGCATTTTAGCTAATATAGGGCTGACGTGGCCCCCCTCTTGGTCTGCTGTAACCCATGACCATGACCCTCCCCCAATAGACATTACCCCACTGGATCCTGCGGGTTAGTTAAAACTAACAAAATACTAGATAGAGCTAAACATCAGTCTTTTATGTCTCTTTAATATTTACTTTTACTTTTTATAGGTGATGAGCAGCTTGCTCAGGACTTCTTCGATCTTGCCTTGAAAGTTGAGAAAGTGATTGAACAATTAGGCTACCCTGGTTGTGACTCCCCTGAGCACTCTGACGATCCGTTGGAAATGCGAAGGGCCTCTGTTATAACATCAACATCTCAAGTCTTAAATGAAGAACTTGCAACCAAGTATATCTCTGCTCTGAAGGAGATGCAATTTGATAGCTGTGATATTGATGGTATGTTTTGTAGCAATGATCAAATGTATTCTCTCTGGACGCCAGTTAATTGTTGACTTTCTGTTGCTTCTTACAGTATCAAATTCGTCATCCCATACATACATTGCGAATTTCAATTCTGCTTTGCCACCTGGGCGTGCTCAAATGATGAGGATTGCTCAAGAACTGGCCTCGTTCTCCACATCCTTGCCCTTAGATCTTGCTTCAGCCATATTTGTGAGATCGGTGAGTAGAGATGAGTCAGACTGATTATATCTTCTCTTCTAGTAGATCTTGAGAATATTCCAATATCACATACCTACTGTAGTTACTTATCTCTATGCCCATACGCTTTAATCAAAATAATTCTGTTTGCACACAGGATGATGCTAAAATGACACTCCTTAAAGCAATGATCATTGGGTAAGTATATTGTTCATACATTCACTCATTCATTCAAATACGTTTTTCTCCTATTTGCTCATTTCAACCCTATTCTTTTTGACTCCACAGTCCTGATGGAACTCCATATGCAAGTGGATGTTTCTTATTTGATATTTTCCTCCCTGCAAATTATCCGAAATCTCCTCCCAAAGTGACACTAAGAACTACCGGAAGAGGGACAGTTCGATTCAATCCCAATCTTTATGCAAATGGTAAAGTGTGTCTGTCACTTCTGGACACATGGAATGGACTGCAAGGAGAACAGTGGAATGAAACTTCCACACTACTACAGGTCAGTGCCTTAACCAACCTGACAACATGGAAATGAATAAGCGTAGACTTGTTTTTCAAGAGGAGTGATCTAACATTTCCCTCACTTCTGTCTCTGCTACAGGTTCTGGTGTCAATTCAAAGTTTAATCATGGTAGCAGAGCCTTATTTCAATGAGCCTGGATATGACTCATTGATGGGCACAGTAGATGGCAAATCTGCAAGTGAATCTTACAACCATAATGTTAAGTTAAACACAGTTCGTCTTGCCATGATAGAAATGCTCAAATACCCACCTGCGGACTTCCAGGAAGTTATTAAAACCCACTTCAGAATAAAGCGAAGGCGTATCATTCAGGTATAACTTATTAATGCATTGAGTTTTCATTAATTTCATTTGTTTTCACTAAATGGAAATTTTTAATTGTCTTATTTCCTCTTTCTTTCAGGACATTGATGATTACCTTGCTGCTTATCCTACTCTTACCTCACTAGCCAAGTCAAGCAAAGCCCTCAAGTCTGAGTTGATGAAGCTCAAGGACTGAACACAGTATTTATCAGCATGGACCAAGATTCATGTGTTTCTGTTCTCCATTGTTTCTCCACATCTACTTAGGATTTTTTTATCATTTTTTTTAAAGTCAGAGTGTTTGATGTGGGATTTGTGGTTTCTTCATTGCCTTCTGGAGGTGGAGATGTGATCAACTATAGACTTGATAGTGCTAGACATGCTTGTGGTGTTTTGACTGTTATTCAAAATCTGGAAAAAAATTAAGACAAAAACAAAACAAAAAAAAAGTAACGATAAAAAGGGGTTATAAAATTGTGACATATCTTATGAATACAGTGTATGTTGAAGGTCATGTTTTTACGGAGCTACTGCATAAATTGACTCTCTGGGTGAATTGTGCCTTTGGCCATTGTGGTATAGAAACGTAACCACTTTGATGTTAAACTCTTTAATTTTTAACCCATGTCTTCTTGGAAAAAATTATTTTAGTGTATCTTCTGGAGTGGGTTGCTCTAAGCCTATTAAAATCATGATTACCACTGTCATCTAGTCAGGTCAAGGTAGCTTCATGTATGTAAACTAACTGTATGTCAGTGTTTTTGTAAGCTCGTCTGAGCTTTTTCTGTATCTTTTCCATCATATGTTTCTTTGTTCTAATCATAGTTGTATGGTTGTCAGTGGTTTCTATGACCTTCAGCCTCTGAATTTTTTTTTATCCAATTGGGGATCAAACTGTTTCCTTTTATTTTTCCTTTATTTCCCTAACTTACTGATCAGTCTGTTCTTCAAAATGACTTAGAATCCCTTGTTCTTGTTGCTACAAGCCACGTTAGTACATTATGTATCTAGTAATTTAAAAAAGAAAATCTTATCTCATATTTTAATGTATAGAAATGTTATTGTTTTTGTTCTCGATAAAGCTTATAAATTTGTTCAAATTGAAATTATGCGTAGGGACGTTAACGCATAGCTCTCTTATGAGATCCACTGCACTTATGTCGCTTTAGTGCGTTGAGGAAGTTTCTCTTCTTTTATGGGTTGTATGTCCTGAAAAATAAATTTTAATTCTTTGTGATAATAGGTGTGCTTAGCAATTAAAATACGTGTAAGGTTTATGTTTGCAGAGGAATTTCAGTCAAACATTTGACTTTGCTTTGTGTTATTATTAAGAAATTGCAGAGATTTTTGGTTGTTTTTAATCAGAAGCAGTCAGATATTTCCTACTGTAAAGATCTGATCTGAAGAAACTAGTTTATAATATTACCAAATGTTTTCTTTGCTGCCTTGTTTCATTCTCTTGGTTCTTTGCTTTTTAATTTCATTGTCCATGTGTGTTCAAGCCAACAAATGTTACTGTCTTATTTACGTTCTTGTTACTGTTGCAGTTATTTTGTTTGTGGCAGCTGACTGTGAGCATTTGAGTTTCAAACATGCAAATTAGAACTATGTAAGTTGATGTCCAGTGTAGTGTTTGATATGGAACACACCTTACTTCATTGAACTGATAAATTTGCATGTGCTGTTTTCTATTTTTCTTTTTTCTTGCACAATTATATCTGGATGTTGCCTGTAGCTTCTTAAGTTTTTAAAAATCCAATTGGGGATCAAACTATTTACTTTTCTTTTCCCTTTATTTCCTCAACTTTAAGATCAGTCTGTTTTCTCTGTACATTTATTGTTATTGTGGCAACATTGTTGGATTAAAATTGGTTATCAAAGCAATTTATCCTGTGTTGAATTTCTAATCTACCTACAATATTTCTTTTTTCTTCTTCCTGTTTGGGTAGAGTGATCATCAATGTTCAAGATGCGCCCTAGTAATGTGTTTATTTTTCTAGTCTGAAATTCTATCTGAAACTACTCATTTGATGTCATGTGCTCTTGCCATTGTGATAATCTGAGTTACTCTTGCTGCTTATTCCTTTCTTAATGGGACTGGTGTTCAGGCTGTTCATCAAAGGATCGAAGGACAACCAAAGTTGACTTTTGTTGAAAGCTCACTTGCTCTCTTTTTATCTGAGTAAAAAAATAATCAAATTCACAGTTTTTTTGTGTTTTTCTTTGTTCTGGCGCTATAGTTTGCTACAAATCCTTTGCACTATCAGTAAAAAGTTGTTGTTGTTGTTTTCTTTAAGTACCCATGGTTATGCTAAGTACTTCAAACTTGTTGCTGTATATACTAATAGTTACCTGAAAGTAAATGTGTATAATTGAACTTTTTAATTCTGTCCTGAAAATGCATGTCTCTGATTAAACATGGTAATTCTGTGAAAAGTATTAGGAATATTTCAAAGTCATTGTCAAAACTAGATTTCTGTTTGTAATATTTGACCTGAATAATTTACAACCTTAATTACTATAACAAATATGAGAAAGGGATAATGTCCTGCATGTCTCATTGTATTCTGCATAGGAAGTATTTCAATAACTGCCTGTTGTGGTTCTGATGGGGGTAGGGCATGTGTGCCTTTGGTGTTGGCTGTTGGACTGAACAATGCAGACTTCGTATTTCTGAGATGTGCCCGTTCTCATGCACAATTTAACATAGACGGAAAGTGAGACTTTTATCAGAAGAATCGAGGCTGAATTCCACTGAACAGTGCCCTGGCGTTTGATTGGACCTGTGGAAAGCTTATGATTACCTTATTTCTCTTGTTGATTTTATTTTGTTCATTGGTTTCTTTGTTCTAAGCTGTAATGAATAAACTAAAGTTCTTAGTTATGCGTGTCTGTGTTTTTATAACGGTCTGTACCCGTGAGCATGTTGCCGTCAGTGCGCTGTCCTTCTAGGCTGACAGGGTTGGTAGAGTCCTTGGGGTCTGGGTTGCCTAAGGCTGCCTACCTCTTTTTTTTTTTTTTTTTTTTTTTCTTTTGGGCGACCTTTTGGGTGGCAGCGTGAAGTCCTCGCTGTAATGTCGACGCGATTCCTTCACGGGGAGAGAGACGATCTGCCCCACGGAAGCGAGCGCTGCTTCTATTCTATCGGTGTTCCGCGCTTGCTGGCGGTGGCGGCCTTGACGGCGACGGCAGCAGACCGATTCCGAGCACCGTCGCTCTCTGCCTCTCTCGCACCTGCGCGCCGCGCCGCATGAGCGCGAGAGAGACAGAGCGACGAAAGCGCGCTTCGGAACGAGTGCATCTGAGTTTCAGCATCACGCATCCTGAGGCTACCCGCGGTGCACGCGCACGCGCCGCACAGTGGGCCAGAAGACCGGTGGAGGCGGCCAAAACTCTAGACGCGTTTTGAGCACCAGAGTCGCTAAACGGGACTCGAACCACACGTGTGACCCCACCAATGGATTCCTCGTTCGGAGAGCAATCCATTGGTGGGGTCACACGTTCGGTTTGAGGCCCATTTAGCGACTCTGGAGCTCAAAACGCGTCTAGAGTTTGGGCCGCCTCCACCGGTCTTCTGGCCCACTGTGCGCCGTCCAGGCAAACGGTTACAGCTTGTGAGCTAAACGCTGAGCGCGCAGACTGCAGACTTCGTTGACGGGACGGGGGCACACCGTCGGTACACCGACCTCAGACGCACACGACACCAAGCTCATTCCGCGAGTCGCTTTCGTCACTCCGTCTCTCTCGCACTCATGGGGCGCTCCGTACAGGTGCGAGAGAGACAGAGCGACGCGGTCTGCAGAGCGGCAAGCCAACTGTTGCTGTGTCCGCACCCGTGGAGTGGAAGTCCCAAACCTGGCGCGCACTGTACTCCACACTGGGCGAGAAGGCCGGTGCAGGCGGCCAAAATTCTAGACGCGTTTTGAGCCTCAGAATAGCTAAGCGGGACTCGAACCGAACGCATTACCCCACCAATGGATTCCTCGTTAGGAGAGCAATCCATTGGAAGAGTCACACGTTCGGTTCTAGTCCTGTGCAGCGACTCTGAGCTCAAAGCGCGTCTAGAATTTTGGCCGCCTGTGCCCTCTATGCAGGTTGATTGCACTCCTGAAGAGCATGCGCTATGCTCTTTTTTCTTTTTCTACAGTGTACTACAGAAGTGCATGCTCTCCAGTGTAGCGCCACGCCGCGCCGGCTTCGTGGCCAAGGCCGCGGTGCGGCGATGCGGCGGCGTGCGGCGGTCTCTGGACGGACACGCATAGGAACGCCTCGGTGGAACGCCTCAGCGGGACGCCACCGCCACCGACTAGAATGGCGAGACCGGGAAGTAGCGCAGACACCATGCAGACACGGCGCATCCCAGCCAGCGCGCCGAGCTTGCTGGGTTTGAAGGCTTCAAGCTTGGTCCGACCACCCCGCTTCTCTGCCCCGAACGCCTCACAGTGGGCCAGAAGACCGGTGGAGGCGGCCAAAACTCTAGACGCGTTTTGAGCTCCAGAGTCGCTAAATGGGACTCGAACCACACGTGTGACCCCACCAATGGATTCCTCGTTCGGAGAGCAATCCATTGGTGGGGTCACACGTTCGGTTTGAGGCCCATTTAGCGACTCTGGAGCTCAAAACGCGTCTAGAGTTTTGGCCGCCTCCACCGGTCTTCTGGCCCACTGTGCGCCTCAGGCCGCCTCTGCCGCCCCTCCCCCCCTCTCCCCGAAACAACCTAGGGTACAACCCCAGCAGCCGCCCGTCCCGTCGCCGCCCGTTCATGTGTCGTAACTTCCAAAGGTTTTACCCCTCTCTCACCCAACGGGAAAATCACGTCGTTACCCCTAAAAAACGAGCTTACAGCTTGGTACCAAAGGAATTAAAGCTCAGCTCGACACAGAAAATTATCGCTCAACGCCGTTCCCTCACAATGTGCGCATTTTAAAAAAAACTAGTTTAAAATTTCCTTGCTTGAAAGCGAGCATAGCGAGTCTTATTTCGTTTCCGAACGATTTCGCGCTCCAGTTTTCAATCAGCTTTCGATCGGAATGGCATAGACATAAATGCTATAATGCTACCGTTCAGGCGTCACTACTATTGGAGTCTCATGTTGGCACGTCTGTATACGAGAGTCTTAAGTTGGCAGTTGGCAGACCTGGTTGAAAGAAACCGCCAACCGCCATTGTGATTGATTGAAAGTGAACCGGAGTGACTCGTGATAAACAAATTGTGATAAGGAAGTCTTCTCGTCGCCACATGATGGCTCCAGCAGCAGGTAAGCGACAGGCCAGACAGGCGTGCTCCGTAGCAATGTGTAAACGCGACTTTCGGCTCCGTCAACAAGTGGTGGGCGCAGACGAATGAACGGCAACGGTCGGTGACCAAAACTCAAGACGCGTTTTGAGCTCCAGAGTCGCTAAGCAGGACTCGACCCGAACGTGTGACCCCACCAATGGCTTGCTCTCCGGACGAGGAATCTATCGGTGTGGTCACACGTTCGGTTCCAGTCCCTTTCAGCGACTCTGGAGCTCAAAACGCGTCTAGAATTTTGGCCGCCTCCACCGGTCCTTCTGGCCCACTGTGGGCTGGCTGCCTTTGCTGTGTTGTTTCTCGGTTTCTGAAAAAAATCTCGCTGTTTTGTCGCTCTGTCACACCCTAAGAGGGCGACAGATTGACACGTTCTTAGGGACAGCTCCGCAGATCTCCGTCGGGAGTCTGTTTCGTCTTCGTCGCTCTGTCTCCCTCGCACATATCCGGCACGCCCCGTGTGTGCGAGAGAGACAGAGCGAGGGGAACGACGGGACACAGTGGGCCTAGACCGGTGAAGGCGGCCAAAACTCTAGACGCGTTTTGAGCTCCAGAGGCGCTAAACAGGACTCGAACCGAACGTGTGACCCCACCAATGGATTCCTCGTTCGGAGAGCAATCCTGTGGTGGGGTCATACGTCCGGTTCGAGTCCCATTCAGCGACTCTGGAGCTCAAAACGCGTCTAGAGTTTTGGCCGCCACCACCGGTCTTTTGGCCCACTGTGCCGCGTGAGTGCGAGAGAGACAGAGCGACGCAAACGACTCTCGGAATCGTTCTGCTGTTGGTTGACCTCTTGGCTCGCTTCTTCTCCAGGGATGCCGGTGGACCGCGCCGGGAAGTGCGTCATCCTGAACGCGGTGGAGGCCGAGGTGCGCCGTATGCTGCCCACCTACGGCTTCATCGTGCCGCCGGACCAGATGCGCGGCAAGGCCCTCAAGAGGCTGGGCGTCCCGGCCAAGTTCGGCGGCCAGATCGACTGGGAGAAAATCGGGTGAGGAGATGAGTGCTTTTATTTTGCAGCGGGTTCACTGAGATTCCAAACGCTATGAGTAGAGCACGTATGGTGCAATGCAGCTCAGATATCGCACCATACGTGCAATGCCACAGCCCTATTGCACGTATGGCAAAAACGCCAGAAATCTTGCACATTCACACAATCATTGTACACAAAATGAGTACACAAAATTTTACAGTGGGTCACCCCTCGTCGTCGTCTCACAGTGGGCCAGAAGACGGGCGCCGGCGGCCAAAATTCTAGACGCGTTTTGAGCTCCCGTGTCGCTGAACAGGACCCGAACCGAGCGTGTGATCCCACCAATGGATTCCCCGTCCGGAGAGCAATCCATTGGTGCGGTCGCACGTTCGGCTTGAGTCCCATTTAGCGACATTGGAGCTCAAAACACGTCTGGGATTTTGACCGCCTCCAACGCTCTTCTGCCCCTCTGTGCGTCTTAGCCTCGGCGCACGCGCACACACACACGCGCGCTCTCTCTCGCTCATTTACACAGTTTCGTTAACTTTTGATTCTTGTCACAGGCAGGATTTTGAACTTCGCGCGGCCCCTCTCCCCGAGGCTGCCCCACAGAGCGCTGCCGTGGAGAAGAGGTTCTTCAAGTCGAGGCCGTCCCGGCCGCCACGGCCGAAGCTCCCCGAGGACCTGGAGAAGCAGATGCGCTGGGTGATGCTCCACTCGGCGTCCATGCCCCAGCCGCCGCCCGCGCCCAGGGTTGTGGCCACCTTGTCCAGGACCAAGAGCGTTGTCCGGGACTCGCCGCAGGTGAGCACCTCTGCCAACACCGTTTTGCTATTTGTCTGTGGAGCGGCCGCACAGTGGGCCAGAAGACCGGTGGGGGCGGTCAAAATCCCGGACGGGTTTTGCGCTGCAGAGTCGCTAAATGGGACTCAAGCCGAGCGTGTGACCCCACCACTGGATTCCTCTTTCGGAGAGCAAGCCATTGGTGGGGTCACACGTTCGGGTCGAGTCCCATTTAGCGACTCTGGAGCTCTAAACGCCTCTAGAATTTCGGCCGCCTCCGGCCTTCTGGCCCACTGTGGGACTGGCAGTGGACTGCATGGGGGGCGGTCGTCGATGGCTGAGTGCTTTTCAACATTTGTTTCACTCGAACGCGTTCCTGTTGGCAGGTTCGCCGTACCCCCGCCCGCACCCCCGCGCGTACACCGGCGGCCACGTCTGCCGAGCTGCGCCAGAAGCGCAAGTCCGACGACCGCGCGACGCGGAACGACGGCGTGCCCCCGCCAACCAGGCCAGTCCAAGTCCAGGACGTCTCCAGCGTCCCCACCGCCACGCCGGCGCGGCACTGGCTGAGCACCAAACCCCCAGCTTCGCGGGACGTGGTCAACTTCACGGTGGACTTCTCGCGCGCCGAGCCGGCGCGACCGTCACGGAAGACTCCGTCGCTGAAGGACCACGCCGTGGTCTCCCCCGTGCCGGCGAAGCGCGTGTGCCTGTCGCCCAGCGGCGACCTGCTGACGCCCACACTGCCAGTGTCCGCGACCCTGCCCTCCTCAGCCACGAGCTCAGCGAAGCAGCCCTCCACGGCGGCGCCGTCCTCTGGGGTCCACTCCGCGGACACCGTCAGGCTGGAGCTCCCCGCCGCCGCGAAGACCCACGCGGACGTGGCCGCCGCCAGAACCGTTCGCAACACCCCCCTGGCCAGGGCAACCGGTGGTTTGACATCACCGCCACCGCAGTCGCCTGACCTGGACGAGGCCCTTGGCGACCTGATACAGGACGACGACGAGCTGGACATTTTGGGCTCGGCCAAGGAGGCGACGGGGTCGCAAACACCCCCTCCGTACGTCTCCGACAACGAGGCGTCGTCCTCCGCAGGCTCCCCGCGGGCCGCGTCCAAAGCATCACTCGAACCCGCCAACTCCTCCCGTGTGTCGGTCGGCGACCTGAGCTTCGGGGACTTCCTGGACGACGACGTCCACTACGTGTCCGCGGGCATCGCGGCGGAGCGGGCGGAGCGGGCCTTGCAGGCGCCGGGGTCCCCGACACGGACACCAGCAGGACGGCGTCCTCTCGCTCCGAGCCTCGGCGCCAAGCCCAGGCCAAGGTGGAGGCCGCGCGCGAGCAGGCGCTCAAGTCCGACAGCGACAGCGGCCTGGAGAAGCAGCAGGCGCGCGGGGCGGTGCGACGTCGCAGGAGAAGCCCGCTCCTCCAACAGCGAGGTCCTCGTCCAGGCCACGTCGGCGTCCGCCGCGCCGCAGACCATCCCGCCGACGCTCCGCTCCGCGTCCGACAGCTCGGACGGGCAGTCGCGCATCAGCGTGGCCACCTTGCCGCTGCACTTCGGCCGCCTCCGCAGCCGCCCCTCGAGCCCGCCTCCCGTGCCGCTGCCGCCGCAGTTGTGCGACACGACGGACTCGGACAGCTCGGGGAAGACGACCACCCACTGCAGCGTGGGAAGGTCCGCAGGGACCGGAGCCTCGTTGGCCTCGTGGTCCAGCGGCTCGCCGGACCCGGAGCAGCCAGGGCGGCGCCAGCACGCCGTGCAGGGGGTTGCCACAGCCCGGTCCGAGAAGGACTCCGACGTGGTGCCATCGTCTCAACACCGCGAGGTTGCCACAGCCAAGTCCGAGGAGGACTCCGACGTGGTGCCGTCGTCACAACACCAGGAGGTTGGCACAGCCAAGTCCGAGAAGGACTCCGACGTGGTGCCATCGTCTCAACACCGCGAGGTTGCCACCGCCAAGTCCGAGGAGGACTCCGACGTGGTGCCTCGTCAACACCGCGAGGTTGCCACAGCCAGTCCGAGAAGGACTCCGACGTGGTGCCATCGTCTCAACACCGCGAGGTTGCCACCGCCAGAGCCCAGTCCGAGGAGGACTCCGACGCGTTGCCTCCATCTCAGCACCGCGAGGTTGCCACGCCACGGCCCAGTCCGAGGAGGAGGACTCTGACGTGGTGCCATCGTCTCAGCACCGCGAGGTTGCCACCGCCCAGTCCGAGGAGGACTCCGACGTGGTGCCTTCGTCTCAGCACCGCGAGGTTGCCACCGCCACGGCCAAGTCCGAGGAGGAGGACTCAGACGTGGTGCCGTCGTCTCATCACCAGGAGGTTGCCACAGCCAAGTCCGAGGAGGACTCCGACGTGGTGCCGTCGTCTCAACACCAGAAGGTTGCCACAGCCAAGTCCGAGGAGGACTCCGACGCGGAGCCGTCACCCGGTGGGATGTTCTCGAAGCTTCGTACGGCCGTCGTCTCGCCGATCAACAGGACTCCCTCCGTCGCGAGCGGAGGGCGCAAGCGGCGCAGCGACAGCAGTCACTCCACCAGCAGCCGTGGCACGTCGCTGAGCCAGATCAGCCACGCCTCCAGGCAGCTGCTGTTCGACGACGACAACAGCCAGAGCAGCAAGTCCAAGCGGCGGCTGCTCGACCACTGCGTCTCGCCGGAGGACGCCGTGGCTCCCGCGTCCCCGCCAGGCGGCGGCCGCGACTCCGCCAACACCTCCCGCGTGTCCGTCGGCGACGTCAGCTTCGGCGACCTCCTGGACGTGTCCGTCGGCAACGCCGGCTTCGCGGACTTGCAGAGCGCGGGCCACCGGGACACCAGTTCTCGTCCTGACACTCCACGGCGGCGAGCCCAGGTGGCCGCGCGCCGACACGTGCTCGAGTCTCACCTCAACGAAGCACGACGGGCGGCACGCGTCGACTGCCCCGCCTTGTTCTCCGCCGACGAGGCCCTCGCCCAGGAGACGGCCCCAGTGCACCAGACCGCCCCGCCAACACTTGCAGTGGGCCGCACTTCGTCGCCCAGTTCAACGGAGCAGTCGCGCAGCAGCGTGGCCAACCTGCGGGTCACCATCGGCCAGCACCGCCTGCCGAGTCCGCCAATCCCCAGGCCTGTCGCCCTGGAAAGCACTTCGGGCTCGGCGTCCACCGGCGCCTCCCAGGATCGCGCTGCAGTGGCGCCTGCCCGCAGCCCCCGGCCCCCTCCGTCGACAACAGCGAAGCGGCGCACAGCTGCGAAAGTCAGCGTCGGGATCGAAGCGTGGTCCGCTTTATTGAGCAGTGACACTACTTCAGGCGGCGACAGCCCCGGACACCCTGGAAATGGGGGCATCCCTCGACTGTCAGGCAGTGCTGGCACTACTAAGCGCTCAGGAAGCGTCGGCAGCCCTAGCTACCCAGCAAAGGGTGGCACCCCTAGGCGCTCAGGAAGCGTCGGCAGCCCTAGCTACCCAGGAAAGGGTGGCACCCCTAGGCGCTCAGGAAGCGTCGGCAGCCCTAGCTACCCAGGAAAGGGTGGCACCCCTAGGCGCTCAGGAAGCGTCGGCAGCCCTAGTTACCCAGCAAGGGGTGGTACCCCTAGGCGTCCAGGAAGCGTCGGCAGCCCTAGTCACCCAGCTAAGGGTGTTACCCCTAGGCGTCCAGGAAGCGTCGGCAGCCCTAGATACCCAGCGAAGGGTGGCACCCCTAGGCGCTCAGGAAGCGTCGGCAGCCCTAGTTACCCAGCAAAGGGTGGCACTCCTAGGCGTCCAGGAAGCATCGGCAGCCCTAGCTACCCAGGAAAGGGTGGCACCCCTAGGCGCTCAGGAAGCATCGGCAGCCCTAGAGCCCTTGGAAATGGAGTCACCCCAAGACGCCCAGCCATCGTTGGCACCCCTGGACGCTCAAGCAGCGGTGACGCTGAAATTGGTGGCTCCCCTCGACGCCCAGGAAGTGGCACCCCTCGACGCCTAGGTAGTGGCACCCCTAGACGCCCGAGTAGTGGCACTCCTCGACGCCCAGGAAGTGGCACCCCTCGACGCTCAGATAATGGTGGCAACCCTAGACGCACGGGCAGTGTCGGCCGCGTGCAGAAAGTCAGTGTTGGCACCCCTAGACGCACGGGCAGTGGCGGCAGGGTGCAGAAAGTCAGTGTTGGCACCCCTAGCAGCATGAGCAGTGGCGGCTTTGCGCAGAAAGTGAGGGTGGCCCGTCTTAGCGTTGTAAGTGGCATCGCTCCGATCAGCAGGAGTGGCGCTCCAACCGCACGCCTCGCCAATCCAGTGGCATCGCTCCGATCAACAGGAGTGGTGCTCCAACTCCAGCGCGCCCCGCTCGCCAATCCAGTGGCGCGGCTCCCGAGCGCCCCCGCCGTGCAGGCAGCCCCCACCCCCGCAGCGTGAGCGAAGCCGCCGAGGAGAGGTCGCCACAGCCCAAGACAAGCGTCAGCGAGGCCAAGATCCTGACGCATCAGCCCGAGTCCGGGGACGAAGACTACTTGTTCAGCGACATCTCCCTGTCCGACATCGAGTTGCCTGTTGAAGACGAGGCTGCCGAGGAGGAGGACGAGGCTGCCGAGGACGAAGACGACCACGGCGACACTGGTACTCCCGGTCAGACTCCGCAGGCACCGAGTCGGCCGACCACCCAGCGACCACCAGCGCGGCAGAGCGTCCACGACGTCCACGCCGACACGCCGCACCGCCCGGGGCAGCCGCTGCGGGTCTCCAAAAGGAAGATCTCGTACAGTGGCGCGGTCAGCCCGCCGCCGCCACGCCGCAGCCCCAGGCCGCCGCGCGGCGCCGTCGCCCTCACGTCGTCGCAGGACATCTCGTTCACCAGCTCGGGCAGGGTGAGTAGCACACAGTGGGCCAGAGACCGGTGGAGGCGGCCTAAACTCTAGACGCGTTTTGAGCTGCAGAGTCACTAAATAGGACTCGAACCGAACGTGTGACCCCACCAGTGGATTCCTCGTTCGGAGAGCAATCCATTGGTGGGGTCACACGCTCGATTCGAGTCCCATTTAGCGACTCTGAAGCTCAAAACGCGTCTAGAGTTTTGCCCGCCTCCACCGGTCTCTGGCCCACAGCAGTGTTGCCACTCGATGTGCCGAAAGGGTTGCCACCCTCAGGCCATGTTCGGGATTTGCCGGCTTTGCTCAGGCAGGCTGAGGTTGGCAGTCCTGTCTGCCCTGGGGTTGACACCACTCTCTTTGTCGCGTTGCAGGACGTCTCCATGATGTCCTCCACGTTGACGCGCAGTGTGGGCAGTGGGCGCAGTCATGGCAGCGTCGGCATCGAGGTCTGGAGCACCAAGGACAACGTCTTCCGCCGGCCCGGCACCTTCCAAGGTATGTAGAGTGCTGCTCGTCAGAGCACAGTGGCCCAGAAGACCGGCGCCGGCGGCCAAAACCCTAGACGCGTTTTGAGCCCCAGAGTCGCTAAATGGGACTAGAAACGGGCGTGTGACCCCACCAATGGATTCCACGTGCGGAGAGCAATCCATTGGTGGGGTCACACGTTCGGTTCGAGTCACATTTGGCGACTCCGGAGCTCAAAGCGCGTCCGGGGATTTTGACCGCCTCCATCGGTCCTCTGGCCCACTGCGCGGAGTGGCAGTCCATCTCAGTTTGCAGTGGCTTTGGTTTTGACCAGTCCGTTCTTTTCCGTTCCAGCAGTCCGACAGCGAGATTGATTTTACGGAGTTTTAATCAAATTTTATTTATCACTATATCAGTTATCACTAACCTGTTATTGAAGTAAAAATAATCAACTCTCATTTACTTAAGTTATTATACAATCATCTTTTATTGTTTTTAAAGAAAAAATAGTCAACTCTCATCTGTTGTTATAAAGTTATTATACAAAAATCTATTATTTTTATCGTACTTAACACCAATCTATTGTTACAGTTATTATAGTAGTTGACACCAATCTATGTATTGTTAAAGTTATTACAGTTAACACTAAACAGCCGACTGTTTTGTTTTCGTAGTTGACACCAGTCTATTATTAAAGTTAACTGCAGTTACCACTAAACAGCCGTCTGTTTTGTTTTCGTCAATATTTTTGGTTCCCAACCCCTTGTGTCGCTCTTTGAGGGGCCTCTTGTACTGCACTGTTCAGCATTTGCGGACCAGGTTCGACCGGGCGAGGCGTGCCGATTAGTGGGCGGGTACAGTCGCACCGGAAACATGCCACAAAGTCACGCCCCACAGTGGGCCAGAAGACCGGTGGAGGTGGCCAAACATCTAGACGCGTTTCGAGCTCCAGAGTCGCTAAATGGGGCTCGAACCGAACGTGTGACCCCACCAATGGATTGCTCGTTTGGAGAGCAATCCATTGATGGGGTCACACGTTCGGTACGAGTCCTGTTTAGCGACTCTGGTGCTCAAAACGCGTCCGGAATTTCGGCCGCCTCCACCGGTCTTCTGGCCCACTGTGTCACGCCTGCGTCGTTTCGGACCCGACTGTACCAGCAGACGGAGAGTCGTCTCCGTCGCACTCACGGCGCATTCCCCCAAATGGGTGCGAGAGAGACAGAGCGAGGAGAATGGCTGTGGTCCACGCGGCCGGCAGGCAAACAGTCGTGCGGGTGGTGGAGGATGTCCGCCGCACAGTGGGCCAGAAGACAGGTGGAGGCGGTCAAAATTCTGGACGCGTTTTGAGCTCCAGAGTCGCTAAATGGGACTCGAACCGAACGTGACCCCGCCAATGGATTCCTCGTTCGAAGAGCAATCTGTTGGTGGTGTCACACGTTCGGTTCCAGTCCCATTGCGACTCTAGCTCAAAACGCGTCGGGGTTTTGACCGCCTCCGAAGGTCTCCGGGCCCACACTGTGCGCCGCCAAACTTTTGCTCGGGAGTGTCCCGCCTGATCCGCCCACTCGCACCGCCGGGCCACTGGAATATGTTTCTAGAGACGCTTCCAACAACGGCGCTTCTAAATGGAGCCTCCTCTGGCTATACATAGAGCAGGCGGGCACGGTCACCGCTCGGACTACGCGGCGCGACGCGGCGGCGGTGGGGCAAGGCCCGGCAGGCCAAGGCCGAGGTCGGCGACGGTGCCTCCAGCCACTCCACTGTGCTGGAGTGACTCCAGCCTCCGCTTCCTGGCAGCCTCAGCGGCGCCAATTCCAAGCGGGACAAAAGAACCTCCCGCCGCACAGTGGGCCAGAAGACCGGCGGAGGCGGTCCAAATCTCCAACGCGTTTCGAGCTCCAGAGTCGCCAAATGGGACCCGAACCGAACGTGTGACCCCACCAATGGATTGCTTTTCGAACGAGGAGTCCGTTGAAGAGGTCTCACGTTCGGTTCGAGTCCCATTTAGCGACTCTGGAGCTCAAAACGCGTCTGGAGCTTTGGCCGCCTGCGCCGGTCTTCTGGCCCACTGTGCGGCGTGACACCTGGGCCCTTGGCGCGCTCGTACGCGATCCGCTAGAAGAGGTTGGCGGGAGGGGAAGACACCACGACGGCGCGTGAATACGAAATCGGACGGCGACCTGTAGGCTGATTCCGGTCAGTGCTTTTGTCTCTCTCTCTCCGCTGGGACGCAGGGCATCACGCCGCCTGAACCGCGTTAGTTCTAAAATTCCGTTTCCTTCGAGACGCGCAGTGGACAACGGCCACTGGAGAGCGCCTGCGATGGTAGGCAACCCGGGTCTGCTCCACGCACCCGTGTGTTCGGGTTGCCAGGCTCCACGGCGCTCCATCGCGGGCAGGCAACCCTAGTCTGCTCCACGCGCCCGTGTGTTCGGGTCCTACGCCACGGCGCTATGTCGTTGGAACCGGCTACTGCATCCCGGCCGGTGTCTCGAAGTCTGCTCCAGGACGTCATCGCGGTTCTTGCACCTGTCACCCCACGAGTCCGGAAACAGTGCGACAACGGCGATCACTGAGAAGCTGCTGCGATGCGTAGGCACCCCGGGCTGCTCCACGCACCGTTCGGACTGTTGTCGTGCTATGCCCTGCCCTTACGGCGCTCCGATGGCGGGAGGGACACCCGGATGAGTCTGCGCCTCGCACGTGGCGCCCGGGTTCGGTTGCCTACCACACGGTATTTTACTTGAATCTACCTTTTTCGTAAACACCCCAGGCCGCGTGTCTCCGAGCGACACAAAGTAATTCCGAGAGACGTTGTCGTCGCTCTGTCTCTCTCGCACCTGTACGAGGCGCCCACGAGTGCGAGAGAGACAGAGCGACGAAAACGAGTCTCGGAATCAGTCTGCAGAAGTCCATGGCATGGCGGATGCGGGCGTTCCCCGGGCCTTCGCTCTCCGCCTCGCTTCGGTACTGTCTGCTCGAATGCTAATTGCCCGCTGCCGCCTTTCGTCGCTCTGTCGAGTGAGAGAGGGGGGAGGGGACATCCCACGGAATGGGGTGGCTGGTTGACGCCCTCGCACAGTGGGCCAGAAGACCGGCGGAGGCGGCCAAAACTCTAGACGCGTTTTGAGCTCCAGAGTCGCTAAACTGGGCTCGAACCGAACGTGTGACCCCACCAATGGATTCCTCGTTCGGAGAGCAATCCATTGGTGGGGTCACACGTTCGGTTCGAGTCCTGTTTAGCGACTCTTGGGGTCAAAACGCGTGTAGAGTTTTGGTCTCCTCCACCGGTCTTCCGGCCCACTGAGCCTCGTCGAGGCTGCCGCGGAAATTTAGATCGGTCTCCGCCTGCATTCAGCGCGACACAACAGCAAAAAAAATTATTCCTTTAATTTTTTTTTGCGTGTGCTTGTCGAATTATGCGGCTCTCTTTCCGGCCCGCCAGTGCGGCTGGCGCGCTTGTGCCCCTGTCTCTCTCGCTCCCACAGCAGACCAGCAGACGGCACAGAGAGAGAGAGCGAGAGAGAGAGAGAGAGAGAGAGGAGAGAGAGAGAGAGAGAGAGAGAGAGAGAGAGAGAGAGAGAAGTGGCGGTCGGAATCGGTCGACAGGTCCGCGCGTGCGAGTACCAAGTGCCCCAGCGCCGCCTCGGACGCGCTCGTCAGCCAGCAGGCGAAAGGAGGGGGGAGGGAGTGAAGGGGCCCGCGGGCCGCGCGGAGGGAAAGAGGGGGGGGGGTGCCCCCACGGCCGAAAGGGGCCCAGCCTGGTTCCAGGAATCTCCGGCCGCGAGTTCGCGGAACAGCGCGTGACTCACCGACTCACCCACAGACCCTATCTCCTGATGGCGGACTCCGTGCCATGCCATGCCGTGCCATGCGCGACCCTGACGACGCCGGGAACCGCAGCGCTTTTCGGCGCGCGCTTTCTTTTGAAAACTACACTACAAAATCCACTGTGTACTTAGTATACATCTATAGGAGTGTACTTGGCAAGTATACATCTATAGGAGTGTACTTGGGCAAGTATACATCTATAGGAGTGTACTTGGACCGCCTATCCGCTTTCACAAGTATACTCCTTTGGTGTATACTTGCCCAAGGATACTCTTATAGATGTGTATTTGGCAAGTATACTCCTATATATGTATACTAGGTACACAGTGGATTTTGTAGTGTAATTTTCCTCGCTCGGCATGCATAATGAAAATGAGGCAGGGATTGCCCATTCTCGGTCTGAACTTCATTGCACAGTGGGCCAGAAGACGTGGAGGCGGTCAAGGTCCCGGACACGTTTTGAACTCCAGAGTCGCTATACAGGACTCGAACCGAACGTGTGACCCCACCAATGGATTGCTCTCCGAACGAGGGATCCATTGTTGGGGTCGTACGATCGGTTCGAGTCTTGTTATGCGATTCTGGAGCTCAAAATGCGTCTGGAGTTTTGGCTGCCGGCGCTGGTCTTCCAGCCCACTGTGCATTGGTCGTATTAATGAAAGTGTGGCAGGGAAGGCCCACTCTCGGCCTGAACGGTGCGTTGGTCGACTGGTCGTATCAACGAAAGTAAAGCGACTGCTGTCGGCCTTGTGCATAGAGTGGTAGAGTGCAGGCACTCAACCCAGGGCTGGTGATCGTTCCCATTTGATGGAGTATTTTCGGGCCTTATGACTCATGTGCGCGTCAATTTTGCACGCCACTTGAGATAGTAGTGATACTAGCGGTGGGCTCTATTTCTCACAGAAGGTTGCCATTATGCAAGCGTTATAAATACAAGCCACGATGTCTGCTCCACGAAGTCGAGTACCGAAATTGGTCAGTCACGCTCCACGTGTCCAACAGAAGGACATTGGCGGTGGCAGTGTGCACCTCCCCCATTGCCGCCCGTGTGGCGAAACGCGAAGCCAAAGAAAACGAAAGCGGAAATCCCGATGGAAACCCCGACGGGAAAACCAGCGCTTTGGCCCGGCGCCTGATTCTGATTGCGCGAGTGGAGGGGGAAGGGGTGGACGGCGCACAGTGGGCCAGAAGACCGGCGCAGGCGGCCAAAACACTAGACGCGTTTTGAGCTCCAGAGTCGCTGAACAGGACTCGAACCGAACGTGTGACCCCACCAATGGGTTGCTCTCCGAACGAGGAATCCATTGGTGGGGTCACACGTTCGGTTCGAGTCCTGTTTAGCGACTCTGGAGCTCAAAACGCCGCTAGCCTCGTCCACCGGTCTTCTGGCCCACTGGGGGGTTTTACGTTTGCAGTGGGTGGCTGCTGCGAGCCGATAATGGAAATTGAAAACGGCCACTCCGAGTCCATCCGACTCACCTTGGCGGTAGTTTATGTTGGCCTGCCTGCCTCGCCTGCCGGTACCGTCTTGGGGCACCGTGTGCCGTATGCTGATGCAACGTCCTTGACACACTGCGCGTCGTGTGTGTGTGTGTGTGTGTGTGTGTGTGTGTGTGGACGCGGACGCGACGAGGATCTTCGACTAAACGCATGGCACCGCGGCACCGCCACCCAAGCCGCCTGCGATCCTTGAGACCGAGTCCGTCTGGTGCAACAGTGTGACGACGCTTTACCACGTTGCCCTGGTCGTTCGGAGAGCATTCCATTGGTGGGGTCACACGCTCGGTTCGAGTCCCATTTAGCGACTCTGGAGCTCAAAACGCGTGTAGAGTTTTGGCCGCCTGCGCCGGTCTTCTGGCCCGCTGTGCGACGGTAAAGCGAGATAGGTAACACACGCGTGGCGCAGAGCCGAAACGTGCGATACACTGTCATACGTGCGCACCCCGGAGAGCGATCTCCCTCCGTTTATCTTATCGGCAGAACGGAAGACGGCCCTTGTCCGCGCGCCGGCGGACCCATTCCGTCGCTCGGTCTCTCTCGCACTCATGGGGCGTGCCGTATTGGTGCGAGAGGGACAGAGCGACGACTCTCGGAATGAGTCCACAGGCCGCCAGCACGCAAGCACGCTCGGCCGCCACCATGACCGTCACAAACCACATCCGAATTACGTACGTTACACCGCTTGTCGCTAATCTGCAGGTGCGCCTCAAACACTTTCCCCGCGGTCACCCACGTCAGCGCACGGGGCGCAGTGCAGCGCAGTGGGCTAGGAGACCGGTGGAGGCGGCCAAAACTCGAGACGCGTTTTGAGCTCCTGGGTCGCTGAACAAGGACTCGAACTGAACGTGTGACCCCACCAACGGATTGCTCTCCGAACGAGGAATCCGTTGGTGGGGTCACACGTTTGGTTCGAGCCCCATTCAGCGACTCTAGAGCTCAAAACGCGTCTAGAGTTTTGGCCGCCTCCACCGGTCTTCTGGCCCACTGTGCGGGAGGCCATGCTTTTCAAACGCGGCGGAAGTCTATCTCGCCCTTCCGAGTAACGTTTTTTATCGTCCGGTTTCGGCGAAACACAAACACGCGTGCGGATGCGGGGCGGGGACGCGAACCGAGAGGCAAATGCTGAAAGGTTGTTCGGGAATAACGAGTGGGGAAGGGAGGGGAAGAAAAGGGGGGGGGGGAGGGCAAATTGCTCGGTGTCAGGTGCGGCGGAATGGAGCGGTTCTGCGAATCGCAGCGAAACGAGACGCAAATTTGGATCGGGTCCATGTGGGTCGCCCCGCAGCGCCGCAGCCAGGCTGGTTTCGAGCTCTGCTTTCGTTGCTGTCTCTCTCGCGCCGCTGCGGGACGCCCCTTGAGTGGGAGAGAGAGAGAGAGGGAGAGAGAGAGAGAGAGAGAGACGGCGGCGTCGTGCTCGGAATCGGCACACCTCGCACCCGCCCGCGTGCGCCGAAGAGGTGCGGAGAAACGACGACAACAACAACAAGTATACGTAGCAGCTGGCCATTTATTCGCAGTGTGCAGGGCGTGCAGGGTGCATGGCTCCGTGTTCCGCGCATTGCGCAAGAGTGCAGGATCCTGGTCCTTCCCCTCCCCTTCTTCCCCACCGGTCGGCGGGGCAGCGACCAGCGGCTGCCGCCTCACAGTGGGCCAGAAGACCGGTGGAGGCGGCCAAAACTCGAGACGCGTTTTGAGCTCCAGAGTCGCTAAACAGGACTCGAACCGAACGTGTGACCCCACCAATGGATTCCTCGTTCGGAGAGCAATCCATTTCGTGGGGTCACACTTCGGCCCACCACGTGAGGGACCGCGCTGAAAACGACATCCTGCACTGTAACAGAAATTCGTGTTTTTCATATGTGCGTTTTTTTGGGTGGGTACGGGGCAGTACGGGGCATGGCCCGAAAGCTTGAAATGGGTCGGACGGCTTGAGTGCGACGTACAGGCGTACGGTACGACCCCTGACAGCTGTCCCCTTGGAAAGTGGAGTCCCCGCCCGACAGGCCCTCATCAGCAGACTGATTCCGAGAGTCTTTTTCGTCGCGCTGTCTCTCTCGCACCTGTATGGGACGCCCCATGAGTGCGAGAGAGACAGAGCGACGCAAACGACTCTCGGCATCAGTCTGCAGTCCAGAGACGAGGTGTCACGACAAAGCAAACCGACCCACAAGAAACTCGCACCTCTCCCCCAAGCCCAGGCACGAGTCATTTATGGACGGACCCTGTGGGAACGGGGATGGCAGGGCGTTTTGCTTCCCTGCTAGGAAACCGAGATAACCGCCCTTGGGCGGCTTTCCCCGTCCGCGACGTCACTCGTGGTTTTGTGACGTCAGCACGGCGCGCGGTGGCGTTGTGACGTCAGAGTGACGAGTTGGCACCAGCGACCTCCCCCTCCCCCTGCAGCGGGTAGCGGTGTACTCAGGTGTACCGGTCGACCGGGACGGACATCCCGACTCAAATGGTTAAATTTTCGGCCAGTTTCAGCCTGCTTGTTGACGTGCAGCGGGCGACCCCCTCTCTCTCCTCTCTCCCCTCGCCGCCGGCCTTCTGCACGCTGACGCCGCCGAACCGACAGCGTTTTCGTCGCTGTCTCTCTCGCACTCATGAAGCGTCCGGCTGGGTGCGAGAGAGACAGAGCTGTTTCGGAATCAGCCCGCTGCTTGTTTACCCACAGCCCAGCCGGACTAGGCCGTCCCACAGTGGACCAGAAGACCGGTGGAGGCGGCCAAAACTCTAGATTCGTTTTGATCTCCAGAGTCGCTAAACGGGCATCGGGCCGAACGTGTGACCCCACCAATGAATTCCTCGTTCGCAGAGCAATCCAGTGGTGGGGTCACACGTTCGGTTCGAGTCCTGCTTAGCGACTCTGGAGCTCAAAACGCGTCTAGAGTTTTGTCCTCCTCCACCGGTCTTCTGGCCCACTGTGCGGACTAGGCCGTCCTGGCCGTCCCCATGCCGCTTTCCAGCCTGGGTGGGGCTGTCGACTGATTCCGAGTCGTTTTCGTCGCTCTGTCTCTCTCGCACCCATACGGGAGGCCCCACGAGTGCGAGGGAGACAGAGCGACGAAGGCGATGCTCGGAATCAGTCTGCTGCGCGGCCACAGTGTGGGGCCCGAAAACACGTCGTGTGCGCCCAAGAAGGGCAAACATTTTAGCTCTTTTAATCCTTTCACTTGAAAGCAACTCCTCAGATTCAGGTCTTTCCTGGTTGGATTTAAGAACTAGTGCGGTGTGATCTTCTTGAAGTATATATTTGAAACGGATTTGGTTTCGACAAATTTAGGATTCGAAAGGGTAAATAAAAAGATAACACTTTGACACAGTTAATTTTCATATAAAAAGGTATTTATTATAATTACCAATAACTTAAGCTCCTTGTACAAAAGCAAGCCAGAGCACAAATAACAAAGACAAGAGACATACAATTTTAAGCACAAATTGAAAAATAAACAAATAAATGAATTCAAAATAAACAATCGAACCAGAAGCAATACTGGAATAACAAATAAGAGAAACAAAATAAACAAATAATGATTTTGTTTCTAAACTTAGGTAAGAAATGTAATCATTGCAAACCAAAACAAGTTAAGATGTGATAAAACAAAAGATTCATACAAATTCATTGAAGGCAATCATGGTGAATTTTCTTAGTTCAATGGTAACTTAAACTGCTCAGTGACAAGCAGTCAGACCCAACAAAAGGGAAATGTATCAGATACATTTACGTGACTAGGTGCTTTTTGAAGTCACATATTTTATTTCATTATTTCCTTGTTTAAAGCACCATCTTAAGCACTTTAATACTGACTCTACTCTAGTAAGGTCACATTAGCTTAAAGGCATCTTGCTACTTTTCAAATTCTCAAAAGTACATTTTTTTCCCAAAAAAAACTCTAAAAAAAAACAACAATAGCCCTGCCTTACAAAATTAATATCAAAGCCTCTGAGCTGACAAATCACAATTATAAGACTCACTTTTCACTTATTGGGTAAGACATTCTGATTGTCTCAGATGAGCTTTACCTTGAATACTCAAGGTAAAAGAACATTATACTTTGAGCAATACACACAAAAGAAGAAAACAACCAAATAACTGATGCAAAATAGTTTGAAATTTTTCATGCAATGGTAAATATAGTATACCAGCAAGTTGACAATATGTGAATACAAAAATATTTTAGCACGCAGGGTTTTGGCACTAAGGCACAACTTCAGTTAAACTCTTTTCCAAAAGTAAATGCAATGATAAGGGCAAGATTAATCAATGACCTCAGATTGTCACAGATTCAATACATTATGTTCGACAATAAATTACTCCTCAAGACAAACACAATCAAATAGATTATTCTACTAAGAAAACTCTCTTCTTTGATTTCACATGAGATCAAAACTAACACTAACAGAAGCACTTTACAGTAAATTGTTCAAGCACACAGCAAAAAGTTTTGCTTTTAAAAATGTATCAAAATTACACAACAATGTTTCAAAAAGAACATTTTTGAGGTTCTAATGCAAACTTTAGTGCATTATAACGATAATATTCTCTAATCCACAAAATATAGTTAAAGAATCAGTAAGTTTTCACACTTCTTAATAAGTAGAGTGGGAACAGGGTGTATGTGTTGGCAAAGGAGAGGCACATGTTCCATATAAGCTTATGGATTCATCACAAAAATATGGCATAGCGATACTGGTATAAGTCCCAGGCAGGGAGAGTATTAAGGATTCTAATGACTGTGAGTACTTCTGTAGTACTCAGGAGAAAAAGTACCTGAGAGTTTGTTTTTTTTTTAAAAAAAAAAAGCCTATGATTATTGCAGACCATACTGGGCGGGTCCAATTTCACAACCATGTTGGGCATGTTCAATTACTTGTTCCTTAAGGTGGCAAACCTGCTGCTTAAGCCTATTAACCAGTGCACTAAGGTCCGTGTTTTCACCTTTCAAAAGCTTCACCTTGTCCTCCAGCTTCGCGATCCTCTCTAACTTCCTTTTACGGCACTTGCTTGCAGCCAGACGATTTCTTTGACGTTTACGTTCCAGCTTGATTTTCTCCTGAGATTCCATGTTGATTGGTGACATAGGTGGTGAAGATCCTCCTAGACTAGGCACTCTCTGTTCTTCTTTCAACATCCCGTAACCGCCTGAGTATGAAGCTCCTTGACTATTCTCCCCGGCAAAGTCTTCAGAGGAATCGTTGCTGGAGGAGCTCTCAAATCTCGTATCTCCACCATCCATGTTGTCCATGCTATCCATGTTGTCCATGTGGGTTCCTCCTTGACTCGAATCACTATGCTGAAGAACGTTGAGGGCCACTGCGAAACCTTTGGCGAACAACTCCTGCTCTTCAGTTACAGGCTGTTGCGGAAAGAGGATCGAAGCGGTGTTGGGGGTTGGTGTCGCTGTTGTCAGAGTACCATTTCCCATGATAAACTTCTCCAAATCAGGTGATCCAAGCTTCAGCTTGTGGAGGTCTGGAGACGACAACACTGGCTGGCCAATGTTAGCGAAGCGCCCCTTCTTGGCAATGGGCTTGTTCAAGTCCAGGAAGAGAGGCCTCTTCTTGGCGTCCGCCTGGCCCGCCTGCTGCTGCAGGGGCCCTCCCATGTTCAAGTAGTGGTGGTCCATCCTGCTGGTGTCGATGTTGTTGTTGGCAGGGGTGCGTACCATAACCCCCGACTCCGGGCTGCACTGCGCACTTGCACTGGATTGTAAGGCACCCTGGCCTATCGCACTACGCCAAAGACGACGTCAACAAACGCGCACGGGAACTGCGGCCCTCGACGCGACAGCACACGAACTAAAGCACCAAACTCCGCGCGCGGGGGCAGCCCCGATGATCACTCGACGACAGCAGAACTGCTTGTGATTGCAACTGGGCGCAGCGCGGCGCAACCTTGGGGCTTAAAAACAGGGATGACTCATGCTGCTAAATGCGGCGGCGACGTCACCGTCCGCGCCTCCCATTGGTCGCCGGTGACGTCAGGAGTGGGAAGCGGCACCCGATTGGCCGGCAGGCGGTCGGGTGGGGACCGCAGACTGGCCACCCACACGCGCGAAGGTGTACACGAACAAGGCGGCCAAACGAAACAGACGACCGGCCCTGAAAAAGCGAGTTCACAACGCCACGTATCATCGCATCCTACAAATTCAGCCAAACTGGCATCATTTCGGTGTTTTTGGAAATTTTTTAGGGCCCAAGTTTTCTTTTCAGGTTGTCACAAGCCATCCTTGTCTTTTCGAATGCAGCCAACAGAGTTCTCAAAATATTTGCTTGGTCCATGGAAACTTGGCGCAAGAGGAGAATGTGTCTCATTAAAAACAGAGTAATTTCAAAGTTGAAACTGAGGAAAGGTGTTCATTTTGTAGAATGCCTTTTTTCAGTAGGTCAAAATGCATTGTTTTTTAAGCTTCAGGTTGCCTGCTCTGCGTGTTGGCGGAGCGCTGCGTCGTGCTGCCCTCTCGCGGCAGAAATGCCAACTCGGCCCGCGTTGTTTTTCTCCGGACGTCGTTTTCGTCTGCTTCGGCCGCTTCGGCTGGCTTCGGCTCCCCTTCGGCTGCCTTCGGCCCCGTCCGACCGAACGCCCGATCTCGGTTTGTGATCGGAATGCCGAGTTCGGCTTCGGTTTGGCTTCGGGACGCTCAGCTTTGTTTTGCCTTTGCCGGCAATGCCGGTTCGGTTCCGCCGCGCCACAGTGGAGTGGAGGAGTGAGAGTGTTGTGTTGTGCTGTGCCCGTCGTCCGTCCCGTCCGCGCCGCGCCGCCGCCGTCGCTTGGATTACAAATTGCTGATTGTGATACGCTTTATCTCTGGGCAGGAATGCAGCCCGCAGTGCAGTGAGTGAGCCAGACGTGTGCCCAGTGTGATTCGGTGCAAATGCAAGCCCCAATGGAGTGAAGTGTGTGTGCCTCAAGACGATCGGATACACCTGGCCGTGCGGTCCGCCGTGCGTAGCGCCGCCCCGTGCTGCTGCCGCTTGTTGGTTATGGCGTTCGAGTCGGAGGCTCGCGCGGTGCTGGCCACGGTGCGGTGATGGTCCGCGCCGACCTCTAGGATGCAAGCAGCGAGGATTTGCACCTTGCTGCTTGCTGCCGTCGCCTGTGCTCATGGTGAGTACACTGCTGGGGCGCCGAGGCGGCGCACTGACCCCCTCGATTTGGACCTGGACACAGGTCCCCCCCCCCAAATCCACTTGTTACTACTAATTACATCTCTTGTGGTTTATTTTGTTTTCTGTCGTTGCTCCTGGTTTGGACTGCTCTTACTGTAACGAAAACTTTCTGGAATGATTTACGTAATTTTACACCTAAAGCGATCATTACACCTGTTAGATAACTCTGAATAAATAATTCGAAACTTAATTTCTTTGGTCTGATGTGAGTTAGTGGAAAATCTGCCTACTCTTTGTAGTGATGACAATACCATTAGTTTTAAATGTGAGATAAGCTGCACTTTCCAATATTATTGTTATCTTTGGAGTGTTTCTCGTTCAGGCGCTTGGATTTAATGGCTGCTCGTGCCTTTAGTATCAGTGCTTTTGCTGCGAACTAGGTTGTTTTGCGACGCAGCCTGCTGTCAAGGACTTGTTGTTCATCACGGCTTAATGAGGCATTAGGGGTATAATTATTTCAATGATTTCACTCTTCACATTGGCGTTACTGTCGTCTTTATTTTTGAGAACCAAATTTGGCTGCTCCATAGATAGCTGCTATGCGCCAGGTTCGCTGCTGGTCTCAAACAGTAACAGGCCCTCAAATTATTGTGAAGTGAATGTGTGACCTAAACGTGACCTCTCATTTTAGTCTCCAACGAGCGCTGTTCCATAATTCTTGCTTATTAGGCCTTGTGACGGGGTCATGCGGAGGGCTTGTCCTCAAAGTAGACACTCTGGAAACGGTGTGGGCGTGCATGCATGTCACTTAGCCCCCCCCACCCCTCTGGCTACCCCTTGGAGAGAGCCCGGCGGGGCTGAGGGGCTCTTGTGGCCCGAGCAGAGGAGAGGTGGTGAGATGGCTGGTTGGAGCCTGGAGCCTCGCTGGAGAATCTGGAGAGGCAAGCCAGACGATCGAAAACTCTTCATTGGCGGCTGGGCAGGCCGGGCCCCGGGTTCAACTCCCGGTGCCGGACGTGTGTTCGTTGCATTTGAAAAGCGTTTCCTGATTTAGCGGTGGCCCCTGCAGACTGATTCGGAAGGATCGTTTCGTCGCTCTGTCTGTCTCTGTCGCACTCATGAGGCGCTCCGCAGGGCCCGCGGGGGTGCGAGAGAGACAGAGCGACACTCCGGAATGGCTCGGCTGGGGGGGCTTGGGGCCCCGGAGTGTAGGTGTGGACGAGTGTGGAGTCTCCTTCGTGGAAACGCACGCCCTCGCCGTGCTCCGTGCCGGCGGGAGGTCGACCCGGGGCTGGAGGTCGCCTCCAGGTTGTCGCAGTGCCCGTCCCGCTGTCCCTGAGGTCCCCCGTCCCCCAGGGCGCACAGTGGGCCAGAGGACCCGAGGCGGCCAAAACTCTAGACGCGTTTTGAGCTCCAGAGGCGCTGAACAGGACTCGAACCGAACGTGTGACCCCACCAATGGATTGCTCTCCGAACGAGGAATCCATTGGTGGGGTCACACGTTCGGTTCGAGTCCTGTTCAGCGACTGCACTGAAAAAAAAGTCTAGTAACGATAACCAGAATTCTGGCACCAAATACCAGACTGTCTGATAGAATATAACTCAACTAGAATTCTGGTAAAAAATACTAAACTGTCTACTTAGCCTCAGTCTGGTAAACCGTACCAGATTTATAGTCACCCTTACAATGCCGCCGGGTCCCCTTCTGGTAGTTTTTACCAAACATCCTGGTTAGTTCATGTGCTTGCAAAACTGAAGGAAGAAATCCAAAATTTAAAAAAAAAATATTTTTGTAGCATTGAAACCTGATGTAATGACGACTTCCTTCACGAATCACCTGTAAATCAATTTTCCCCTCCTTCTCTCCTCCGGATTCGAACCGGGATCTCACACTTGTGAGCTGAGCACGTTACCACTGTGCCACCACGTCGCCTGTGGGTCGAAGGGATCCGCACCTGGCGACTCTCTTCGTGTCTGGCTCAGGGAAATACTCCCAGTGTTTCTTCCGGATTTAAGACTCCGAAAATAACGAAACCGGTTGCAGTTAACTTTTTGACACGCTAACATTTCAATTGAACCAAATGTTTCGAAGTTTTACGTATGGCGCCAATTACTGAACAGTCTAGTAAAATTTACTAGGATTATTAACCAGACACCTGGTAAATGTCACAACACCCGATCTGGTTACTTCAACTGATCATCTGGTAAGGGTTACTAGGATTCTCGTATGCGTAACTAATACTCGTTTAACTAGGATTGGTCTGGTACTTATAACCAGACTTTTTTTTCAGTGATGTGGAGCTCAAAACGCGTCTAGAGTTCCACCGGCCTTCTGGCCCACTGTGGGGCGCCCTGCCCCGACTCCAGCAGGCTGGTCTGTCTCTATCGCACCCCCAAGGGACTCCTTGTGAGTGCGAGAGAGAGACCTTCCACTGGGAATGAGCTTCCAGCCTGGACTCCAGGCCGGATGGCAGGAAGGCTGGCTGGCTGGCTGGCAGGCGTTCTGCAAGGCTTGTTTGGGACGGACCCCCGCTGTCACCCGATCGGCCAGGGGCCCTGCAGTCCCCGCAGACCTCGCAGGGGGCGTCCGACAGCGACGTCGCGCAGTCCACACACACCGCTCGACGTGCCCCCAGCAGACCGATTCCGAGAGTCGTTTCCGTCGCTCTGTCTCTCTCGCTCTCATGTGGCGTACCGTATGGGTGCGAGGGACGCATACGACTGTGGTGCCGTCACGAGTCCGATGTGAGGTCCGTTCGAGGACTGGAGGGCTCAAAGCTGACTACAGTACACCACGTATGTCAGCCCGAACAGGTCTCCTGGTTTGCCGCTGCCCAGCAATCCTGGAGGATCCGTTTCGCCGCTCTGTCTCTGTCGCACTCTACGGCTGTTCAGGATTACATACAAAGGCAGTTGACAGTTGACGCAGTAGAGTCCCCCCCCCAAAAAAAAATCCAATTTTTATGGCGTGTGACGTTTTGATAGAAAACGGAGTTCCGTTGACACGATGGCCGATTTTTCAGACAGTGTACTTGCACACCGCCGTTTTGCACAGAAAAAAAAGAACTGTCAAATGACGAAATAGGAGCCCGATTTTCCGTTTTGCCGTCGCGTTTTTCTTTTCTTTTTTTAAATTTTGCGGTGTAGTGTCGAGCCAGGCAGGACAAAGGGAGGGGAGTAATTAAAGGGGCTCGTTTTATTCAGGCTGCACTACTTTGATCTGCTGCCTGCAACCCCCTCTCCCTTTCCTTCCCCCTCCCCCCTCCGTCCCTCCCCCTCCCCGGTCGGCGTGTCACAGGGAATATGAAATAACGTGGCCGACATGCGACGCTCGACCTCGTTTGTTTGCTCACGCAGTTTTGTTTTCTTTGAAAGATTTGAAAGAAAACTGTGCATGCACACACACTGTGCACACGTGTTGCCAAATAAAAAGTGCGCCCGACTATGGCATTTTGGCCGAGGCCGAGGGGGTGTCTGTTTTGGACACATTCGATCTTAAAATGTTACTCACTCCGAGCACAGGGTGAACAAACAACCCCTCGAGTAGCCACTTTCGTTCGAATTTGTTCGTGCAAGTTGTCCAATGTGTGGGTCTTTCGCGTCCCCTTCGCTGGAAGGCAATTGATAATTTTTTTCTGTTATGGATAACTTCCCCCTCATTGTGTTGAGGGGCGTTGCAAAGTTGCGTGCGACGGGTGCTGAGGCGTGGCGGTGCACCATGGGTCGAGCCATGGGTGCACCCCGGAGAGAAAGGGGTGCGGAAAATGGCTTTTTGTTTCTTCCGAGGCGGTGCTGCTTTGGCGTTTCTCTTCCTCTCTCCCTCTTGCTCCCTCCCTCTTGCTCTCTCCCTCTTGCTCTGTTCCTCTTGCTCTCTCCCTCTTGCTCTCTCCCTCTTGCTCTCTCCCTCTTGCTCCCTCCCTCTTGCTCTCTCCCTCTTGCTCTCTCCCTCTTGCTCTCTCCCTCTTGCTCTCTCCCTCTTGCTCTCTCCCTCTTGCTCTCTCCCTCTTGCTCTCTCCCTCTTGCTCTCCCTTGCTCTCTCTCTCTTGCTCTCCTCGCTCTCTCTTGCTCTCTCCCTTGTGCTCTCTCTCTCTTGCTCTCTCCCTTGTGCTCTCTCTCTCTCTTGCTCTCTCCCTTGTGCTCTCTCTCTCTATCTCTCTCTCCCTCTCTGGCAGAGGCTGCAGAGGCGCAGGGGCCTCCCCTCGCGTTCCTTTCGCCGCGGCGGGGCGTGCAGAGGGGCCGGGGCAGCCGCGGCCTGCCGCCCGATCCCGAGAGGAGGGCGTTTGGTCGCCCTGTCTCTGTCGCTCTCATGGCGCCTCCCTAAGGAGAGCGAGAGAGACGGAGCGACGAAACGATCCCAGTCGAGGCCGAGGCTCCTCCTTTGATGTTAGGTTTACGTTTGGAAAGGGGAGTGGCTGGGGGAGCGGCCGGGCTGTGGGGGTGGCTGTGCTCCCGCGTCTCGTCGCTCTGTCTCTCTCGCACTCATGGCGTTCCCCGGAGGGTGCGAGAGAGACAGAGCGACGCCGTGCGGAATCGCCCGACTGACGACACCTTCCTTCCGAGTGACACCCCCTTGGCTGCCGAGCGATTCAGAAGAGCGCTTTGTCGCTCTGTCTCTCTCGCTCCCTTACGGAGAGTCCCGCGAGTGCGAGAGAGACAGAGCGACCAAACGACTCTTCTGAATCGCTCGGCTGGGCCTGCTTCGTCGCTCTGCCTCTCTCGCACCCACAGAGCGCTGCTTTGCTTTCAGGGGTGCAAAGAGGGACAGAGAGAAAATCAGCCGTGCCGCTTGCTTACATTGCATGAGCCTTGCAGACTTTGTAGAGTCTGAACAAGTCTGAAGCGATCCCGATCCCGCTGCCGATGGTGGCTGATGGTCAATACCGAATATCGGTTCTGTCGCTGTCTCTCTCGCACCCCTGCGGGTGAGTGCGACAGAGACAGAGCGACGAAAGCGTCGAGAGCACTGCACTTGCCGTGGCTGCGCGTTTTCCAGGCCGT